TCAATGGCACAGCCTGGAGCTGGGCTCTTTCAAGATAGCCCTGAAACCTCATGCCAATGTTCCCTGACATGTGCTTTGGCTCACTGATTTGCCCAGCCAGCCACGCATCCAAACGAGGCAAGCCATCAGAAAAGTTCTCAAGGTGAAAAAGGATTTGTTCATTCGAAGGTTCAAAGGCCGTCTGAGCCCATCTCATGATGACTCCCAGGCCCGTCCTGTCGATGGATGACAGCTTTGCTATCAGCGAGTTCCTCCAACCCCGAAAGGCTGAAGCATCCCTTGGAAGACTCGGCACTGACAGGTTTGACAAATCCTTTCCCCTATAGACGTTGTTCTCATCCCCAATGAAAGCACCACCCGGCATAAAATCACCATATGGGTTACCATCCCCTCTTGGTGGGTCATCCCCTGGTGGTCCTCCTTCGCCCCCGTTTTGGAGCCCCTGTCTTGCAACAATCAATGGCTGTGTCTGACCATGCCATGACTCATCCGCATCGGGACCATCACTACCATCATCATCGTCATCATCGTCATCGTCCCCTCCATCTCCAGGGTCGCGTGAGGCGAACGCCTGGTGGGAACTCTCATGAAAAACGAAATTATTTGGAGGTGATGGTTGTGACATGCGAGAACCAGCCAATTGGTTGATCTGGTCCTGCATGGACTTCATAGACTCCCCAATCTGCTGCCCCAATGCCTTGACAGCATCTGTCATGTGAGCCTGAAGCTCTGCTGTCGCACTAGTGGCCTCGGACGGTGCCTTTGGCGTTGGAATCCTGGGTGGCCTACCTGATGTGGATGTTGGGCTTCCATGGACTGGTGACGAATGAACTGGGGGTGGAACATCATGAACAAAATCCGCGCTATTTCGGCTCTCAGTCAACAACTGTTGAATCTGCCTCTGCTGTTGCATCAACTGATCCTGTAAGGCTTGAATCATCTGTTGTTGCAAGTTGATTTGATGTTGTTGTCGTTGATGTTCGGCCGACGCTGTCTGAATGATTTGATGTTGATGCATGTTTTGTCGTCTCAACTCTTCATTTTCAGATGACGCTGCTTCAATGATTTGATTCACTTGTCGTGTTGCTGACTCCACTACCCTGTTCACCTCCACATTTGCCTGAAAAGCTAACCCTTTTGCAACATGCTCCGCCTCCAACACGGCCCTTTGAGCCTGCGCCTGGATGTTGAGGGCTGTTGCCCTGGCTTCGTCTGCTTCCCGTCGAGACTGCTGATCCTCAATGTGCACATGCTGGTGGACCGATCTTTGATCTACAAAGGTCTGATCAACATGATGGTGTTGTTGAGTGGATCTCTGATCTATGTGACCTTGTGCAGGTAAACTACCATGAGGGTTCATGAACTCGTCATCGTCATGAAAACCAGGTTGAAAACCAGCACAGGCACTGTCTAAACCCGGTGCAGTTGCAACAGCACCTACATTGGGTGACGCAGGATGTGCGCTCTGGGTTGATACAGTCAAAACTTTGGGCTTGCCTTTCCTATTGATATTGGATTTCTTAACCCCTTTTCTTTCTGAAGAACTCCTGCTTGATTCCCTGGATGATTGTCGGGAATGACTTCTGCTGGCATTCCCTTGGTGTTCAACCACGGTTGTCATGGCAGCAGCTCGTTCCCCCATCGGCTGTTCTGTGGAGGAAACCATCTGTGAGCTAGATGATATGGAAAGTGAACTTGATTCAGGTGGAGAAAACCCAGTCGACATTGAAAATTTGATCTGGTTTTCGTCCCAAATCTCGCCCCAAAATTGGAGCCCTTTTTTTTTGGTTATGCAATCCCGGTCGCAGGATGCGAACACAGGAGATGTGAAGGTTCTATCAACCAAGGCTGGACAAATGCAATGCAAAATCCCTCGCCCAGGAGAACACAACACAAAATGTTGGAAAATGCCCCTGAAATGTGCGTGGGGCAAATTGCAATGAATCCTGTTGGTTCAGTCAACCCAATTAATGAGGAGAACACAAAACACGATTCACCCGCTAAGGTTCCTTGGTATATGTGTAAAGCACTACCCACACCCGCTGTCAACGCTCAGGATTTGTTTGCTTGAACCGCAGCCAATCCAAGGAGTCAAACACAAATTGCCTGATCCGAGAGTGAACCGTCAAGATGGAATCCCACTGAGGCAACACGCAAGCCTCAATGTGTGGTCCCAACGACTTGACTTCGTCCACTAGTGCCTGTTGATCGTCCACAAAGAATGCGCAGGAAATGCCTTCTCGTTCAAGAATCCACCGAGCCCAACCCTTTTTGCCTCGGTTGCCGAACTTGATCCGAGTGCACTCGGAGTCAATGCCAAGCCGTCGGGAATGGCTGGTGACCTCTGCAATCCTGTGATCACTAGGAGCGTACGACAAGCAACAAGTATACACCTTACTGCCAAACTCGTCACGCAAGCGCCGGATCAGCTCTGTTGAAGTTCGGAAGCTCTTGTCCAAGACACCGTGGTGGTCCAACAGGACAGCAACACGAAGATCTCACCTCGAACGATCGGGAGACGAGCCCACCGAATGAACACTGGCTTCGGGTGTCACAGGCTGAGTCCAGGATGGAAACTCTTCTTCCTCCTGAACTGGGGATTGATCTGGACCCCGGGGACTCGCAAACGTCCCACAAACAGAATCAATGATCCGCCCGCTGACGTGCAAATGTTCTGCTAGGGTTCGGCTGGTCGTGAAGTCCCAGATTCTCGATCCCAATGCACTTGCGTCAGTGAACAATCTATGCAAGCTGTGGAACTCCTCTGCCTCGCCGGGTTGGAGATTGCTCCTTGCCTTGAGCTCCCTTTCTCGGACCACAAAAGGGTGAAGAAGGGAACGACGGTGCTCACGAAGTCCCGTTTTTCCTCTTCTTACCATTCACTATGGAAGTAAGAGCGGCGACAATCGGACTCGTAAAGGCTGGGGCTGAAAGAGCTTGATCCGAGGCAGTTCGAGAAAGCGGGTTGGCGGGATTTAGCGGGTTGTCTCAACAGTATAGTAGGCCCTTAGGTTGTTCAACAAGAGCACTTCCCTACCAAAGCTTAGTATGGAAGTTGGTCTTTGCTTGACGGGTGGGTCGCAGGAGCGAGCGCCACAGTCGAATGATGCTTACCGATATGGAATTGTAAGTGTAACCGGAAGACTACGAGCGAGGTTTATACCAAGCTACTAGCAATTCCCAGTCTATGTGTTGCTACACTCCGCAACGGTCGCCGGACGCGAACTCGCTGCTTCAACGCCAAGGTTCGGTGGCCAAGGCGAAGCAATACTTCAGGTGAGATCCAACCTGTGCAATCCGATCAGGCGGTTGGAAAATCACCCAAAGGTGTGGACTTAACGATGTAGCAGGTCGCTGGTTGCAATCACTGCCACTTCGCTAAGCAGTTTGAAAATCACAGAAAGGAAGTTTAGGTTTCCAACACAAGAATGGGTGGCTCAAACCCAAAGCAAATGCTAGTAACCGTAAATATGTAAGGACCACGGCCGCACCCGCACACAGCGAATGCGGCTGATAACCAGTTATTCAATGGTAGAATCACTTGGCGGCAGCAACTGCAAAGGCGTCGCACGGTTTTGCTTGAGCCAAATGTACAACATGTTACATTGATGTGAGACAATGACGGTTCATGACACTACACTTGAGAAATGTCTTTACATAGTGTATATGTGTCAAACAACTATATATATATAGAGTATTTATAGAGTATTTGCCATATTTGCAGCATTGTCGAACGTCAACCTTCATTGTGGAGATAGAACCTCTCATTTTGCATGGCATTTGCAACCAACAATTGGATATTGAACCTTTCATGCTGCACGGTTTTTGCAGGACTATTGAAATGATATTTGCAGTATGTTGGAACTGCAACCTTTGCATTTTACAAGGTTTTCAGTTTTCAGCTTTGTGAAACTTCGACCTTCCCATATTGAACGGTATATGCAGTATTGTGAGACTTCAACCTTCTACTACAGGCGATAGTTGAAGCATTGTGAAACCTTCACTGGGTAAGCGATTCACTTACATCTAGTTTCACCTTTCTGGGCCTCATAATCTTCACACTAAAACAAAGAAACCAACAAGATCAAAATAAGAATGAAATGCAACAAAATAGAAACAGCTGAAGGGGGCATGAGGGGAGGGCGCTGCGCCTCCCCCAAGGAACGCAGAGACAACTTCTTTCTAGTTTTGGTCATTCTTTGCTGTCGTGGTTGTTCTTGTTGCACCTGCTGCGCCTGTTGTTCTTGTTGTTCTTTTTATTTCGTTGTCTTTGCTGTCTTGTCGTTCTTGTTGTGGTTGCAGTTGCACGTGTAAAAAGTCAAGAACAGGGAAGCAAGCAAAACAAAACACTCAGCAGATAAAGAAGAAAAACAAACAAGTGGCAAAACCAAAAAAACACCAAAAACAAACACATGAAAACAACAGGAAAACAAAGACACTGAAAACACACAAAAAATAGAAAAGCAAAACAGAGCCACAGAAAAGTAGACAAGCAAAAAAACAGAGAAGCAGAAAAACAGAGAAAGTAGAAAAGGGTAAACACATTACAAAAAACACAACAAAAAAACAACATAATTCCCTAAATAAATGGTTCCCAAAACATTTTTTGGCTCAATGACAAATGCCAAAAGCTGATTGGAAAATTCCTCACATGGCTGGTTAATAGGGATTCCTACAATGTCTTAATTGCGATAATTCCCAATATTGGTTGGTGGTTTCAACCCCTCTGAAATAAATATTAGTCAATGGGAAGGATTGTCCCATATATTGTGGAAAATAAAACATGTTCCAAACCACCAACCAGCAATATATTGGATACTTGGTGGCTCATCCCACTTAGTAAGTGGATTATAACCCCAATTATAAATGGGATAAGTAGGGTTAATCCACTTATAACTGGGGTTAAAAACCACTTACTAAGTGGGATGAGCCACCAAGTAGGATGATAAACCCATCATCATTCAAGGCTTTTGAAACTCAGGAAACTCGATCCAAGCTTCGAATCCTGCCAGGTTCGCCTGCAGGAAGTGGGAAATGCTGCCCCCATCTCAGTGAACGAGAACGCTCCGGGAATGGAGATTCGGCGAGTGGGTGGCACCCTGAAGCAATACTCATCCCGATTCATCATAAAATTAGGTATGAGTTAGTTATCAGTTGTCACTCATCAACAAAAGGTATGAGTAGCATCTATCAATCTATCTATCAATCTATCTAGTATAGTTAGTTATCACTTATCACTTTGTTAGGTATGAGTAGCATCAGGTTTGTGGTTTGGATAATTTTCATCCGAGTTTAACAAATTGAAAAGTTCGGCCGTTTGGCGGTGGTTACCAATGGTTACCCCATGTTACCCCTATATGAGGTTATCCAGGACGTTAAATTTTTCACGGGAAAGAAACATAATGACTTTTGGTTCCAAACGTTTCCAGAAACATCAAAATAATATCAAATTGAGCAGCTCAAGAATCGCTATGAACTTTGAAAACCTAGTCTATTGGCCAAAGTGGATCAAATGTAGCAGCGCCGTCAGCTAAGTTTTTTTTGTAATGGTCATTGCGATGGTTTCAACCCCATAGCTTCCTCTATATCTATCTATCTACCTACCTACCTAACTATCTATCTACCAAACTATCTATCTATCTATTTATTTATCTAATCTAATCTAATCTAATTATCTATGTATCTATGTATGTATGTATGTATGTATATATGTATGTATGTATCTATCTATCCATCTATCTATCCATCTATCTTATCCTATCTATCTATCTATCTATCTATCTACATCTCTTTTATCTATATCTATACATATACATATATATATACACATAATATGTGTCTGTAAAGAATTCACCATCTATGATATCTATTTCATCTATTGTGGCGTTTCACAGTGCAATTTGGGCCGAAAACTCGATTCACCAAGTAGCTGCAGCGGTGGGATTTGACTTGCAGGCCTGGGACGTGTTCTGCTAATTATGGTGACCCCCACTGGGATTGCAATATTGCAGGTTTTTTTAAAGCAACATGCAGAGTGTTCCTGACATTCGCCATATCTTTTCATCAATCAACAAGGATAAACCCGCAAAACTTTGTCAACACGAGCTATACATGGGCCGGGTTGAAGTATGTAATCCAGCTAGATACAAAGAAAAACGTTATCCAACTGGAGATAAGTAGTCAACTAAGCTGCCTGTCGCCTGGCACAAAGGTTGCACACCAGTTGATTCGACGCCACTTGAAGGTCAGTTTCAGAAACTGTAAACATGGATATTGTAAGACACATCTTTTTTGAGGGGACTGAAAACCTTGCTTTGGTGTTGCTTACATATCTTGATTAATCTTACACTTGCATGCGTGTTCTTTCCCTCCTTGCCTTTTGCAAGTGTGTTAAATACCACTTGCGCATGGGTATGTTTGATTGTTTTAAGCATGTGACCTTCACTTGGACTTTCACAAATACTTGATTCTCTATGCACTTAACACTATGCATTTCACACTTCACACTCAACACTTGGCACTGCACACTTGATCACAGTCAACACTTTCCACTGCACACTTCACACTTCAAACGCTGCGCATTTAACACTCCACACTCTCCAATCCACACTTCACACTTCCCACATCACACTCCACACTTCTCCCTTCAATCTCCACACTTCACACTGCACACTTCGCTCTCCACACTTCACACTCCACACTTCAGACTTCACACTATGCAGTTCACACTATGCACTTCACACTTCACACTTGGCACTGCACACTTGATCACACTCAACACTTCCCACTGCACACTTCACACTTCACACTGCGCGCTCAACACTTCACACTTCACACTCCGCACTTCATTCACACTTCCCAAATCACACTGCGCACTCCGCGCGTCACACTCTCCACTCCATACTTCACATCCACTCCACACTTCACACTCAACACTTCAGACTTCACACTATGCACTTCACACTCAACACTGGGCACTGCACACTTGATCACACTCAACACTTCGCACTGCACACTTCACACTTCACAGCAACTTCAAAAACATCACGTTTTGCAACACTTCTCATATAGACACTGCGACGACGCGATTAGAGGCGAAAAAAACAAAACAACCCGCAAACAGTCTTCCGCCCACAGACCTCCTACCAACAAAACAAGAACCCTTCGCTACGCATTCGGGAAAACCCTTTCTGAAGTGATATATGAAAACAATTTTGCCCAAATACATAGTGTATGGATGTGTATGGGACAAAATCAGCCATCTTGCTGGTTTGTCCGATGCTTATCCAAGTACCTATTGATCTTGCAAAATTATCCCAAACAAAGGTGAATCTTGAAATTTGTTTTGGGTAACTTTGATCGCAATTGATAGCAAATACTTCAAGATAACTTTTTCAAAGATTCAAAAGTGACTCTCCTAATGTAGACATCATATTGGCAATCCCGACCACAGTAAAGTATGCCAGCCTTTTTTGCGGGTTATTGTTTTTCCCCACAGATCTGGATGAAAATCCCCACAGATCTGAACGAGAAAAAACAACTACCAACAGGGGGTACCCTTGAACCACCCCAACACCACAATAATGTACCGTGTCTTACAGTCTTACAGCCCCTTAATAAAGTAATGTATTGTTTCTCTGGGGATTTGGGGTGAATATACTTTGCTTTCCAAATCACCTTGAAAGTCAAGTACTTTTGCTACCTCAAGCCTTTTGCACAACCAAACTGTAAAGTGGTGTTAAATATAGTGCTACAATTCTTGGGACTTTCCTCACAATCAAATCAAAGTCAATTCTAGTTCAACTTCAAAATACTTTAGTTTCCAATGTATTTGTTTTCAATTAGGAATTTGTTTGGCAATACCGAGACGCAAGAGCGTTTCCAATATGTATTTGTTTTCAATTAGGCTTTTTGCTTAGCAAGACTAAAATGCAAAAACTTTCCCAACATCTGTGCATGTTCAATAAGGCAATTTGTTCGGCAAAACTTAATGTCCAGAGTCAGAAGTATGTTTGGCCTCAACAAGTTCTGTAGCTGAAGTATGTTTGAGGGGGGTTAATATGACGTTGACGTGAAAAAACCGAGCCTGCGGGGAACAATACACCAATCCGCTTTCCCCACACCATCCACAAGGGACCAGCAATTTGGCGCGCATTCAGAATGTCGTCGATGTAGCGTCTGGGCGGGCGACGAAATGTGAAGAATGCAATACGAGATGCAAAGGAGATTATGGACCGAACATGAGAAACACGACCTCTTGATCAACCAGCCAGTTTTCCAAGAATATCTATCTGGGCAAATTGCCATCGTTTAAATTTAGATCACAAAATATGTTCATATATTTTCAGGGTCCACCTTGCAAGCGATAAACCCATTTACCTACCCAGAACACCACCTGCTTTTAGCCAGCCACGACGGCTAGTCTCATATGTCCTACACGAAATAGAGTGCTTGATATCCGGTTAGTATGTCGTGTTTAATCACTTGATGGCAACAAAATCAGCCCCTTCCCCCAAAAGTATTCGATACCAAAAGACACCCTGGTTTAGGATTGGGCTTATTCACTTTAGGGGTCCCAAACATCGGGGGTGTTTAACATAAAATGGATGGTATCACACGTAGCCGTGTAGGGCTCTCCAGATCTCCCCATTTAATGGGGCAACATGGGAAAAACAAAACCGACATAGACATAATTTCCATCTACCCTCATCAAACAAGCATGTATTTGAAACCATTTTTGGTACCCCTTCTGGTACCAACGAACCATGTGGTTCGGAAACTCAAGCTCCTTGTCTCCCTATTTTGTATTGGACACCTACATACCTATGGCTCCTAATCGCTCCCTCCTAGCCACCACAGTTCGCCAACCAGTGCATTTTGTCCATCTTGCTGCCAGATCACGTCCTTTTTTTCCCCTTTTGTCCTGGGCGGCTCAGTGATGGGGTTCTCCAACGGGTTGCCAGGAACAAACATCCGCCAAAAATCCACGCGGCCAAGAATCAGCCGTGCTTTTTGGTTCAATCCTGGTCCAAAGAGATATCAGATCCTGTCTACTATGTAGTGCAATAGTAACGAGCTATACCCTATACAAATTAATGGACTCTAAAACTACTCAACTAGGTGATTCTGTTTTTTTGCGGGTGTCCTCCGTTGTGTCTATGCTCCTCCACCTAGTCGATTGTCTATCCACCTTGTATAAGACAGGATTTATGGTAGATATACTTGTTATTGAATGGAATTTCAAAACCAACTCATAACTAGGGGGCCACCTTGCAAGACCTGATTCTACCGTAACTAAATTTTAAATATACGGATTTAAAATATATAGGACTCTAGGACAAGTATTTTATACTACCTCCGGAAAGGTTTTCCTTGGCCTGCCCGGCCATTTATATAAACATACGGAATCCAATTCATTTCAACATACCGCAACTGCATTTAAATATACGAACTGGCATTTTAATCACCTCCTGGGCCTCGCGGTCTGCCCTGCCTTCCACATATTTAAATGTTGTTACTGTACAAATTTCAGTATAATATATCATAATATATCATTATTGTTGATTTTTCGTTCATGCTGTATGAACAACTGCATACGCGCCATTAGAAGTGATGTTTGACCCTGCAAAGGTAAATTACGTTCTTCGAGTGACCCCCCTCAAGTCACATTTTTTGACATATTTTCTGACGTTCTATCTGGCAGTCGCATTTTATCTCAAATATTTTCTGACATTCGATCTGGCATTCTATCTGGTATATCTCCGGAGATTCTGTGTGGTTGAGGTCCGGCGGGGAACGCTCTGATCCTGTGCTTGCAGTTGAGGCCCGCGGAGGAGAAGGAGAAGGAGGAGGAAGAGGCGGGACAAGTGACATAACATCTAACAACCCTCACCTGACAGGTGGGGAAAAAATCCAGCAAGGATCAAACAAGGAATTCCCAAAAGTCCGCTCCTGACTTGTAGGTTACGCAGCCGTTGTTTGTTGGTACACATTCACATTCCCATCTTGGATGGTTTAATAATGTCAAGCCCGGATTTTGATCTACAGTACCCCTGGGCTGTTTAATGGAGCTGGTAGCATGCAAGTAGAAAATGACATCACTATCGGGGGGATCAAGACGATGGGCCCAACCGATGATTAACTTCCAAGATTCTGCAACAGTACAGGCTTGAGTCGCCAATGAAGAGCACGCGCGACACGGCCATGGCTGGAAAACAGCAGACAGCAGAGGATATTTCCAGGATTTGCCCTCAACAAAACTTGGGTTTTAAACGCGTCAAATATTGGCATTTGCATGGATTTACTGTACCAAGTAATCAGGTAGGAAAAATATACAAATGCGAAGTATACATGAACACGCATCCAATGTCTCCTTCGTCTCACGGAGAAACAGCGACATGCATGCACAACTCAATCGGTTCCCTGCCATTTAGCGGCCAACCAGGTGCCCGAGAACTAGAGGCCCGAACCCACATAGGTATCCTGAGTGCCGGCGCAGGTTCAGCAACTGCGTGCCTTCATTCCATGACTGGTTGATGACATTTGCTACCACCACTGAAGTGTCAACATGATCATCCTCAATTTTTCCCCTAACAGTGTACCTACACTGAGGGGTTCTTACGGTAGGTGCAAAGGCCGGTGCTTGATCAGGGTGCTCACTCTGGGATCTCTGGGATGCTTTTTTTTTCTGTAAATTTCCGTGTGAAGTGGCACTTGTGAAATGTTGAATTTAAGCGCATTTTGACTGCGCAGGCTCGCACAAAGTCTGCGCCGCGGTTTCACTTTTTTCCTGTAAATTTCTGTGTAAAGTGGCTCTTGTGAAATGTTGAAGTGCATGTCGACTGTGCAGGCTCGCACAAAGTGTGCTCCGCGGGATTGGCCTGCGGCATTTTACCTGTAAACTTCTGTAAAAAGTGGCTCTTGTGAAATCGCAGTGCATTTCGACTGCGCAGGCTCGCACAAAGTGTGGTCCTAGGTTCTGGGCCGATCATGATCATCCTCACCCCCATCATCATCCTCAACGTCATCATCATTGCCATCATCATCATCATCGTCATCATCATCGTCATCATCATCATCATCATCGTCACCGTCATCGTGATCATCATCATCATCGTCATTGACCTCCTCAACATCATCATCTTCCTCCTTCTCTACATCGTCCACTTCATCTTCCGCATTATCATCCTCCTCCTCCTGATCGTTACCATTGTCGTCGTCGTCGTCGTGGTCACAACCGCCATCATCATCATCATCGTCGTCGTCGTCGTCATCATCATCATCGTCATCCACATTATCATACAATATTATACATTATCATACATTATCCTCCCACTCCCCCACACTGTTTGGGGTCATTTTTAAGGGTAGCAAGAAAAACAACGAACGAATCATGAAAACCAATAGGGCTTTGGAACACTGCTGAATTGCTACTGGGTAGCAGGATATGCTGTCCTTGATGTAATCACAATCAAGAAATGCTTAAGACCAAATCAAAGGTACCAACCAACATTAGCTACAGCAGCTTCGAAGTGACACTTCGAAAGCAGCGAAGGCTTGTCAAAGGGTCGAGCGTCATATCCCGCCGGGAAGTTTTGGACGAAGTCATGAGCTGAGGCCAACCGCGCGGCAGCCTGCACATGTTTGGTGCAAGTTTGATGTAGCACTTGACAAGTGCTTGATATTGCATACACCGCGAAACAATCACGTACATATAAATATAATGATGCGCAATAGTACAAGCAATGTATATATGTAAATATATATATATGTAAAAACATGTAATTACATATTGTATATAATACATACATCAAGGGTCTTAGGTTATGACCCACATATGACTCATTTAGAGACGGGGATGTGCATACAAGTACCATGAAAAGAATGCTTTTAGTATGCAACTAACATCAACTAACATCAACTGACATCAACTGACATCGGTTGGTGGGATTGCCCCCCTTTGCGTTTCAGACCTGCAAAACAACCACGGGTTGGTTGAAAGAAATGGCCAACTTCATGGCGAAGAGCCGACTGGTTAGTGGTTGCTGGTGCAATTTCACCATCTTGAAAAATGATGGAGTTCGTCAATGGGAAGGATGACATCCCATATATCATGGAAAATATATGGTTAAAGTGGTTGGTGGTTCAATAATTATTTCCAAATATCATGGAAAATAATCCAAATGTTCCGAACCACCAACCAGGTTAAAAAAAATGAAGGTTTTGTCAACAAATTTAAGGCTATGTCAGTGGATATAACCAACAAACCGCCGAATATTTTAGAACATCTGCATGGGGCTGGTACGCTGGGCCATTCATGGAGTAAACCTGCCTTGGTCAACTCAAAAATACACCAGGATACCAATTGGTGGCCCGAGTTATACCAGTTATAAGTTCTCTTAGAAAACCGCATTTATGGGATGTATAATGCCATAGAAAAAACCAGTTGGTCACGCCGTGGCCAGCGGCCTGTGGGCCGCAGGCATGATCACCATTATCTTATCTTATCTTATCTTATCATCATCATCGTTGATGTCATCGTCTGCAAGGGAATTCTAGATAAACGAAGTTATACATATGAGGATGTTCAAGATAAAGATAATGGTCCTATCGCAACCGGGCAGTCTACATTAACATACATGTCTAGCAAGAACGTTACATCAACGTAGCACAGCGTAGATATGCAAGCGTGCAAGAACGCTAAAGAACACTTGATCAACGTAGCACAGCGTAGTTCCGCAAGCGGGCAAGAACGTTACATCAACGTAGCACAGCGTAGCTGTGCAAGAGCGCAAGAACGCTAAAGAGCGCTACAACAACGTAGCACAGCGTAGCTGTGCAAGAGCGCAAGAACGTTGCATCAACGTAGCACTGCGTAGATGTGCAAGCGTGCAAGAACGCTAAAGAACGCTACAACAACGTAGCACAGCGTAGATGTGCAAGCGTGCAAGAAAACTAAAGAACGCTACAACAACGTAGCACAGCGTAGATGTGCAAGCGTGCAAGAACGCTACCTCAACGTAGCATGACGTCGCTCAGCAAGCGTGCATGAACGTTATTACCCCACCCCACCCCATGGCACCCCACCCCACCCCAACAAGGACAAAAAAAGACAAAAAAAACAAAAATTAGCTTTCACACAGCAACCAGTTGTACCTAACAAGTGACCATACCTGTATCAAGCATATATGGGGATCATGTAACAAAATGGGGGAACACCAAGCTCGCTGGTTGGTTTATTTCATGATTTTTCCTATCAATACCACCATTTTAGGAAACCCCCATCATATTCAGAATGGTTCAAACGTGTTCAAAACAAATCCAAACTTGACAATTACCATGCAAAGATATGCAAAGAATGTGATAAATTCAGCAATACTACAACCATTGCTCAGCATGGTGAGGACGGCCATGAATGCACCAGAAACCATCCAACCTTCATCTGATTCACCGTCAAAATACTTTGTTTGGGCATTGCTGAAAAATAAGGGCGGTCTTTGTGGCTTTGGCAACCGAGCTTTGTGCAGCAGAAATGGACCCGAATTCAACCTGTGCTGCAGGAATCATTGCTGTTGCGGGGCCATACTGTTTTGTGGCGTTCCAGCCCCCCTTTGAACAGTCATTACCAAACTGGCCTAAGCATGTCTATGCTCATTTTGACCATGCTGACTATACGTCCTGGCGTTCCTCTCGAGCAAACATTGAGCGTCAGGAAACCTATTAATGTTGCTGGTCCCTTGTCCAAAAGATCTGGCACGCTAATGCCAATGGGGTCTAGCAGTTTATCGATCCCTATCCCTATCCCTGCCCGCTATATCCTAAGTAAACCGGCATCATTGGGTTATCGCTAGAGCTATCGCTATAACCTGTTGTTGCCGCCCCTGCATCATCCTACACCAATAAGATTTTGTCGGCCAGGCTGACAATACCTTAGCCTATATCACAGAAAAGAAAGAGGGAACAAACATCAAAGCAAAGCCCATTGAACAACACATGCAAAACGAAATGGAAATGCATAAGCAGGAAAGCAACAAAGGCAAATATACACCTGCATTGAGTTTTTGAATTTAATTTGTTTTCTGCTTGCTTTCTGACAACGTAGTTCACATGTCCAATTGTTGCGTTCGGATCCAGCTTCGTGGATGCCAAGATGGACTGCCTGCTGCTGTCAACAAGCTCTCAAGCCACCAATGTTCACTGATTGTGCAAACACCTTTGTTTTGAAGGCAACCCTAGGATTAATCGACAAATGGGCTGGATAATTGCGGAAACCATTTGAATAGACAAATTGTGACTATGTTGGGTGGCAAGCTCTAAATCAACCATTGGCATTATCGTTTTTTTCGGGGGCCCAATGTCTTTTACAGTGCTTCACGCCCAACTTTGTTTACATTGTAATATACACCAACTTAACCAAAAACGATTTGTTTAGTAGATTGTAAGACTATTTTGTCGTGACTGAGATCCATTTCTATCCATTTCTGTTGATTGTGTGACATCTCTGGGGCGTTCGTCCCATCCCACTACCAATCTTCTGCAGCAAGCGAACTCATTCCCAGGCAAAGTTCCCAGGAACAGGTTCCCAAAGATTCCCAAAGGTTTCCAAAAGCAGGTTGCCAAGCAAGGTTCCCAAAGGTTCCCAGGAAGAGGTTCCCAGGAAGAGGTTCCCAAGCAAGGTTTCCAAGCAAGGTTCCCAGGATTAGGTTCCCAAAGATTCCTAAAGGTTTCCAAGAACAGGTTCCCAAGCAAGGTTCTCAAGAGCAGGTTCCCAAGCAAGGTTTCCAAGCAAGGGTTCCCAAGAAAAGGTTTCCAAGCAAGGTTGCCAAGAACAGGTTCCAAGAACAGGTGTCCAAGCAAGGTTGCCAAGAACAGGTTCGCAAGCAAGATCCCCAAGCAAGGTTTCCAAGAAAAGGTTCCCAAGACAGGTTTCCAAACAAGGTTCGCCGGAATAGGTTTCCAAGGACAGGCTTCCAAGAACAGGTTTCCAGGAACAGGTTCCCAAGCGAGGTTAGCAAAGCCCCCAGGAACAGATTTGCAAGCAAGGTGTCCAAGCACAGGTGTGCAAGCAAAGTTTTTGTTATCTCGGTTTATCTCAAACAGCTCTCAAACATCATTCCAACAAACATTTGTTGACTTGTTCTTGTAGTTGTTGCTGTTGGGGATATTCTTTCGGCGTATTTGTTTGTTGCCAGAAGAAAACAATGAACAACATATCCAACCACTTCCTATCACTGACCAAGGCAAATCCAGATCAATTGGTCGCCTACCCACCATCCATTCATCAAGGCGCGAGCCTCAATTTCTTCGTCTTCCACTTCCCTGAGGAGGAGGTAGAACCCAACTTGGGTGACTTAGAACCATTGGGGATTACCAAAGTTGGTTTACCCAGCCATTAGGTTCTACCATTCTTAGAACCATTGGGGATTACCCAACTAGGTGATCCAAAGAACACCTGAGATCACCTAGCCAAACTGCTGGGGATCTTTGAAGGAACAATTGGCATGGCCGCTAAAAATGTCATATCAATGGACCCACAATGGGTTCCTCTCACTAAGGACTGCTCTCACAAGGGCTGCTTGTTTGGAATATCAAACCATATGTACAATTTATATCAGTTTGTCACAAATTGAGCCGTACCCCACTGACTCCCACTGACTAAACGACCAAACATATCCAAAAACAAATTGTTCAAGTTCGGTTTGGCGCACTGACATTTCGGCGCACTGAAGGTTCCTACATAGGACATTGTTACTTATTGCTTGGGGACAAACCATCTAGGTATAATATCTAGGTCATCTTGAAAACAAACGTCAGTCTTGGACACTTACAGATCACTAAACAGAACCTGATAGGAAGATTGACGGGTTCACTATTCAGGCCCTGGACAGCAAACTGCTAATGAACCCCTCCAACTAATCAATAAAACCCCCTTGTTGATTAATGTGGAGGGTACTGCTTATGATTGAAATGATCGCCGTATTGGGGCCCCCCTCAATCTTGGGTTTATATATGTTTAGAACTGTTTATATATAATAGACACGGTCTATATGTATTCTGTATCTTGATAAACTTCAGGGGCCCAAAAGACATCTCCATTGAATCTCCATGTGGCCCGTGTCCAGCTGTTAACCTGCTGCGTAACCATCAATCCTAGTGTCAGTTGGATCATTGAATCACCAGTTGTTGCCAGCCTTAGACCCACCTGGCTACCTCTGTAAACATGTAAAGCCAACAAGTTCTAAAAAATGCCACGGAATCCTTTGACATCCTTTAACTGAATGCTTTTTTTAGTGGGGCATTGCTCAGCATATCCCAACATGCCCAGGTTTCACAAACCCAGCGACCACCAGTTGCTCGCAACATCCCCATCGGTCCCTCCTTCTGCATCCATAGGTCAAATTGTTGCGAATGCTGGTGTCAAAGAGGAGTGGCTGTTGGGCGACCTAGATGTTCAAAACCGACTGAACCATGAATTTCAACACTGAAAAAGGATAAAGAAAGGCATTTGTACCAGTAGTACCGCACAAGGCGGTGGCGGAAGTTTCAAAAATAGGAAACCTATAGGAGAGATTGGTTGTTGTGAATCAAGGATGGCAGAGCGAATCCACTGATGGACCGAAAGGTGCTTGAGGTCTCCTCTCTTTCTCTCTCTTGCTCTGACTATCTACCTACCTACCTGTCTATCTTCTATGTATCTATCTATCTATCTCTCTCTCTCTCTTTCATCTCATTACCTATCTATCTATCTATCTGTCTGTCTGTCTGTCTATCTATCTATCTATCTATCCTATCTATCTATCTATCTCTCTCTCTCCCTTTCATCTGGCTATCTGTCCAGCTGTCTACCAGTCTATCTGACTGTCTATCTATCTATCTATCTGTCTACCTGTCTATCTGTGGTGCAATGTCATTCAGTGTAATGCAGTGTAGTGTAATGTAGTGTAGCGTAGTGGAGTGTAGTGGAATGTAGTGTAGTGTAGTGTAATGTTGTGTAGTGTAGCGAAATTTAGTGTAGTGGAGTGTAGTGGAGTGTAGTGGAGTGTAGTTTTGTAGTTGTAGTTGTAGTTGTAGTGTAATGTAATGTAGTGAAGTGTAGTGGACGGTAGTGTAGTGTAGTGTAATGTAGTGTAGTGTAATTTAGTGTGGTGTGGTGTAGTGTGATTTAGTGGTGTAGTTGTGTAGTTTTAGTTGTAGTGTTGTGGAGTGTAGTGTAATGTAGTGTAGTGGAGTGTAGTGTAGTGTAATTTAGTGTAGTGGAGTGTAGTGGAATGTAGTTGTGTAGTTGTGTCGTTGTGTAGTTGTATTTGTAGTGTAGTGGAATGTAGTGTAGTGTAATGTAGTGAAGTGTAGTGGAAGGTAGTGCAGTGTAGTGTAATGTAGTGTGGTGTAGTGTGATGTAGTGTAGTGGAGTGTAGTGGAGTGTAGGTGTAGTGGGGTGTAGTTGTGTAGTTGTAGTTGTAGTTGTAGTGTAGTGGAGTGAAGTGTGGTGGAAGGTGGTGTAGTGTAGTGTAGTGTAATGTAGTGTAATGTAGTGTAGTGTAGTGAAGCGAAGCGACATCTGAACCGCCAAAAGTGGTCCGAACCCCTGGTGTTTTTAACATTTTGACTTCGAAATGTACTTCGCGCACAACGGCGTGCACTTTTTCGACATCTCAACTTCCAAAAGTGGTCCGCACCCCTGGTGTTTTTAACATTTTGACTTCGAAATGTACTTCGCGCCACAACGGCGTGCACTTTTTCGACATCTCAACTGCCAAAAGTGGTCCGGAGCTGGTGTGTCTTGTACATTTTGACTTCGAAATGTGCTTCGCGCCACAACGGCGTGCACTTTTTCGACGTCTCAACTTCGAAAAGTGGTCTGAGCATGGTGTGTTTTGTAATGTTTTGTACATTTTGACTTGGAAATGTGCTTCGCGCCACAACGGCGTGCAATTTTTCATCTCTCATCTGGCCAGCTGGCTCCGCACCCGCCGCTTTAGCGGGGCTACTTTTCGACCCTCCGGAGCACAAATCATTGGAAACACACAGTGTTTCGCGACTTTCCTACCTTTTCGCGCATCTGCATCTTCTTTCTTCTGACTCTTTCTCTTCTACTCTTCTCTCTTCTAATCTTTCTCTTCTCTCTGCCTCTGCCCTGCTCTGCTTTTCATCTGTCCATATTGTCGGAAGTTTGACTTCTAAACTTCCTTCGAAGATTTTGTAAGGCTTTGATCTTAAGTAAATGATGAAAATAAATGAAAATGAATGAAAATGATCTCACATCCATTTCCATCAGAAAATGGATGGGAAATGGGGATCTTAGCAGTGGGAACACTGACAGGAAGCGGATGAACAAAACATAGAGCAACATGGAAAACAGCAAGTATGAGCTGGGCAACCGACCATAAAACAGCAAAATCGTTTCTGGTTGGTGGTTTCAATCCTTCTAAAAAATATGAGTTCGTCAGTTGGGATCCAAATGTTCCAACCCACCAACCAGGTTTCCAAGGTCATGTCAAAGGCTGGTTGACCTTCAGGGCTTACCCTTAGCGTAAAAACATCCATCAGCCAACCATGTTTAACGACGTTTTGGCCCCAAAACAACTGGCTAGTAACGGCTAGTATGAAAGCATCATCAAGTGAGGAAAACGCATTGAAAACATAAGCTATATAATCTATGTTCAGGCACATGCAGGGCCAAATAGCTCAAAAGGCGTTGCTCACTGTCTTGTTTCACTAACAACATGACGTGGCATGATTTCACCGCCGTCAACCCCCAAAACTGGGACATGCACCAAAGCCATCTGCGAATGCAAAGCGCACGTGTCCTGGGTCAATTCACATCCGTTTTGCATTTTTGCATTAGTGCCTCACTAAGAAGTAATGGGCGAACTTGAGGCTTGCATTGAAGGCGCTACCCTTGGATGCGTTTGGTAACTTTTGCATTCAGACCCATGGTGACAACATAAATGATCATGTATTTTGGTTGCGTGGGTTTGGGTCAAAAGCCGTGAGCATTCAAACAATAAATACATGTTTTGTTGTGATGTTCACCTACCGATTGGTCGGGCTGTTTTTGTTAATCTTTGATGGCAAATAGTAAACCAAACACAAACATCTTAATTCAACGCAAGAATATAATTAGTGTACATATGCACATGTATATAAATTATAACAACTTCAAATGCGTTGAAGGTTTGCGCAAACACACACACACATCTGGAAAATCGGGAAAATTGTTTCTTGGGTTTACTGTATTTTAAGACAGGCATAAACAAATGACCCATGCCCATGCGTGCGATGGTCAGACCAGCTGAAGTCGGGTCACCACGACAACGATGGTTGAAACAACAAATTGAGTCTGTCAATCCCTAGTCGGGGCTCTGACCATGATGTCTCACCATTTTATATGCGGAAAATTAATTCTGAAATATTCAATTTCCAGCTCATAGTTATTTGATGTTATTTGTAAAGGACCGCTCCACAAGGTGGACCTCTTCAGCAATGGTTTTCTACTCCCATCATAAACACAGGCGGTTCACCACAGTAAGTGGGATATAAAGCCCAATCATGAGTAGACTAATCCTACTTACCCTTGCCCTATCTTGCCGTGCTTATAGCTCATTTACTGGGGTGAACCACCACCAAGTAGTTAATTGATATCTTGGTTTTGAACTACTTGGTTTGGTTATTTTTCTTCCAAAGTAAGTTCAACTACTGTCACTGGCCATATTATGTATATTAATATATATATATATCTTCCATCATATTCCATTATATTCCAGCTATTCCCCTGATAATTCCATAAATTGCTGGATATAATGGAATAATGATTATATAGTTCCATTAAATTGCTGATTGCTGATATAAATGGGATACATATTCCATAAATTGCTGATTCTTGTTATATTAGTTCACCCCAGAGTTTACCCCACATGGCCCAAGCGTCCCAATCGCAGAGCGGCTTGCCATCCACCAAGACCTCTCCGACCTGCAGCACGGCGCAGCAACGGCAGCACGGCACCGCACCTTCTGGGATGGTTCCCGAAATGGTAAGTTTCAAGTGGTATATAAACTTGCTAATGATGATCATATGGTTTCAACCCCTTTGAAAAACATGAAAGTCAGTTGGGATGATTGTTCCCTATATATATATATGGAAACATTCAAAAAACATGTTCCAAACCACCAACCAGATGGTAATATGGCATTCCAAGCCGGGCCGGGTTTCAAGTTCAATGATGGACTCACAAAAGTACAAGTGTTCCAGTCCTTTTTGCAAATCAACACCGAAACACTTACTGTAAGTTTGTTTGCCACATCCTTGCTTGTCATGTCAAGTAGTTTGCAAAAAAAAACATAAACCTGATGTCAAAAGTCAAAATGCCAAAAAATGTTTCGGATAATGAATGAATGTATTTTCCTCAACCGAGGTCCCCGCTCCAGTACCATGGTGTATTGGTGTGTATGTGTGTGTGTTGTTAATGTTGGGATCCCATACAACGGAACGTTTTGCTGCCACTTGAGCTCCCAACGGAAGGGTCGTAGTGCCGAAAGAGCAGTGCCGCAATGGTGGATTTGCCACTGCCGGAAGCTCCCACCTAATCAACGATCATCGTGAACATCATCAACATCTATGAACACCAACGTTAACATCAACATTGTCCAAATCACAGTCTTCATCCTCCTCATCCTCCACATCCTCCTCATCCTCCTCATCCTCCCCATCCTCCTCATCCTCCTCATCCTCATCCTCCTCATCACCATCATCCTCCTCATCACCATCATCCTCCTCATCCATCACCAGCATCCTCACCCTCGCCATCATCACCATCATCACCATCATCACCATCCATCACCATCCATCATCACCATCCATCATCACCATCCATCATCACCATCCATCATCATCATCCATCACCGCCATCCATCATCACCATCATGACAATCATGACCGTCATGACCATCATGACAATCATGACAATCATGACCATCATGACCATCATGACCGGCATCACCATCATCGCCATCATCGCCATGATCAACATCATCACCATCATCACCATCATCACCATGATCACCATGGGCAGCGTCAACATGATCGAAACCATCATCGTTAAAGACACCAAAATCATCAACAAACATCAACAATAATCAACATCATTCTCATCGCCATGACAGTCATCAACATCGGCGTCAACGTCATCCTCGTTTGACAAACACGATGATGACCATCAACATCAGATACATCAGTTGGCACGTGGTAATCATGCTCACAATCATCGTTTTCATGATCATAGTCACAACTTGGGTCACACCAAAATGCCGAAATATACACAGGTTCCAAAAGTCATGGAGAAACAACCATGCAATATGCACAGTACGAGAAAGATTCGAAACAGGAATCCATCGAATTGCATGAGAAAGGAAAACAAAAACAAACAAATACCATCAGGTAAATTACCATATTCATGGACAATAACCCATTTATAGATGATTTACATCCAAAAATGTTATTTTTCCTTACCTTTTTTTTATGAAATTATCAGAAGGTAAAACATAGTCCACATTGAAAATCTGTGAAAACATGCGAAATACACCCCCAACTCCAGGTTTTCATCATCAAGATGCTAAGGCCGTCATCTGTCCCTTCTCCATGGTGAAGCTGACGCCCCTGTGGCCCAATGACACCCAGACAAATGGATACAGTTGCACTGGGATACCAAGATGGAAATGGATGGAAATACTATTAAAATTCTCGCGCACACAAAAACTAATGCGTTGAGAAACTTTTGCACACAGAAACTTGAGACACACGTGCGTTTACACAGAAAAACCTTTACACACAGAAAAAATCTGCACATGGAAAGCGTTTACGCACAGCACGCTTTTACACAGATAAGTTTTTGCACAGATAAGTTTTTACACACAGCAATTCTTTAAACACAGCAAACTGGTACACACAGAAAGCTTTTACACAGAGAGTTTTTACACACAGAAAACTTTTACACAGAGAACTTTTGCACACAGAAAAAAATAGCACAGCAGGTTTTTACACACAGCAAACTTCTACACAGGGATTTTTTTCACACATCAAGTTTTTTCCACACAGAAGCATTTACGCACAGCACAGTTTTACCCAGAGAAACTTTTACACACAGCAAATTTTCAGACAGAAAAACTTTACACACAGCAGCTTTTACACAAAGAAACCTCTACACGCAGCAAACTTTGCACAAACAAGCCTTTAGGGACAGATGCGTTTACACACGGAAACATGTACATAGAGAAACTTTTACACACACACAAGCTCTTACACACAGAACCGTTTACATACTAGTTTGCGCACGACATTTCCCAATACTACTTTTTACTACAAAGCTTGCCCAAAGCACTTCCCAGTACTACTTTGTACTGCAAAGCTTGCAGAAAGTATTCCCCAGTACTACTTTGTACTACAAAGCTTGCACAAAGCACGTCCCAGTACCACTTTGTACTACAAAGCTTGCACAGGGCACTTCCCAGTACTACTGTGTATTACTTATTACAAAGCTCGAACCACCACTTCTTTGTACTACAAAGCTTGCACAAAGCACGTCCCAGTACCACTTTGTACTACAATGCTTGCACAAAGCACGTCCAAGTACCACTGTGTATCACACCGCTCGCACCACTACTACTTTGTACAACAAAGCCTGCACAAAGCACGTCCCAATACTACTTTGTACTACAAATACTACTTTGTACTACAAAGCTTGCACAAAGCACTTCCCAGTACTACTTTGTACTACAAAGCTTGCACGAGGCACTTCCCAGTACTACTTTGTACTATACAGAGCTTGCACAAAGTACTAGCCATTATAATGCGACATCGATTTATTGACTTGCCAAACACACTAGACGTACGTGCAACAGCGTGAGAAGGTGCAGCTTCAAAATCGGATCTCTGCACACGAGGTACACGGAAAAACGAGGTACATTTCATCGCCGGCTGCAGCCACTGTACACGGAAAAACGCAAGGTTTCGTGCTCCGGCTTCCTCCCCAAAACAACCCCCTAGAACTACGCACATGTGACCAACCACTCCTTGCAGGACACAGAGGCACTTCCCTAGGTCACCACTTCCCTAGGTCACCACCCTTCGTTCCCTTCCCTATAGTATAACCCTATGTGATATATTGTTATGCGATGTACTGTTATGTGATGTAAGTCTGACACCACCCTTCTTTGATATACTGTTATGTGATGTAAAGTCTCACAGTTCTATTTGTCCGTAACTCGGTCACTTCCCTCCGTCATCACCCTTCGCCATCACCCATCACTTCCCTCCAACACCACCCTTCGTCAGAGTATTGTTGTGTGATGTATTGTTATGTGATGTTACATGTATTGTTATGTGATGTAAAGTCACTCGAATAAAAGTCATCCGTAACTCGGAAGATTGCTTCCCAACTTCCTTTGACTAAAGTATCTAGCCAAAATTGATGCAGTCATGAGGCCTCAAACCAAGCCTTCCATCGATATAGAAAATACGACGATGCATTGAACGCTGCTTTACATCGAGGGGTCATTTACATGACTATGGGAAGGACTATACCCCCCTCAATGTTGGGACATCATCGTCAGCTATCCACAGGCAACGCTGTACTTGTGCTGGTCGTTTCCTTAAACACTCCCTTTCTTTGGTTATATCTACTTTGGGGTTTTGATATCCGATATCCCAATATATCCCATGGTCCGCGGTCATGTCACCATTCATATAATATAGAGCGGCACTAATTATTTTGGTTGTCGAGTTGTCGGCTACATCCCCGTTCAGTCACTACCAACTGGCCACATGGACAGGTCACCTACGTTGAGGAATCGTGAACCCATCAGATTCGCTTCTAATATCCTCATTGACAACTGAAACTGATTGAAGTTTCCTACTTTGGGGGGTATGTTCCCGTTGGTGTTGGGTACGCCCTGTGATTTTGTTGCTTGCATTTGTCGAATTCACGATGCGATGGTTGACTCACCATCATCTGCTTCTCGGTGATTTGTTGATCAGCTGCAATTAACAAAAACATTTTAAGAACATTTAACAGTTAACAAACAATTTTTTTATGGGATATCGGGATGTGTGGCAAACCGAACCACCTGACTCCAAAAACCTGCAAGTAACGACGTTATGCAGCCTTTCTTTTCTTGGTGTAGCATTGGATACCCTGCAAACGACTTAGTTTCTAGCTGGTTGTCACAATGGCGCCAAAAACTCAACTCCAAGTTCTGCAGCACTTCTCCAACCCAACCTCAGGCCTCAGTACTTGCACATCTGGCCGCGCAGGGTACGCGAACCTGGGTATCACCGCATGCCCGCAGCATCACGACAAATCGTTTTGGGAGGATATGCTGGAATGATCCAGCTGATATTCTTTTAGCATTTTTGACATTTGGAACAGGGCTACCACGGGTGCGGGCTCCTCAAGTTGTGCTTGTTGGCTTACATTTGCCCACTGTAGATTTATCTACCCGCTTTTAATCTTGAATTCTGGGATAGAAGTCAGAATGTTTACTTCAGGGATCAGATGGTTTCTTGCGCAAAAAACAGTTGCCTGGAAATGGATGATCAGCAAAAAAGTTGGGAGGCCCCCTTTGATTTGATGGGCCATCGGATTAGCGAACGACATCCCATGCTATGCTCATATAATATACATGGCTCATTCTGGCTCAGCATTCGCAAAAACATCGGCTATACCCAGTACCCAGTTATATTAATAACCAGTTATAATTATAATCCTTTCTTTTCAAAACCAAATTTTGTCCCATTGTGCTCGAAAACGGAATGCATTATTAGCAAACACTTTAGTTGGACCATCTCCAATTTTATGCGATGACTACCCCAGGGTTGGCCTAAACATAGGTTATTCCCAGTACCATTGGTGTGTAACATTTTTCCCATGAAACTGGCCATCAAGTGGGAACATTTCAATACATAATATATGAATGTAGAGGTAAGAGACGACCCAACAAACACGTCACGTGTGCAACCATGAGCCACATCCAAGCAACTCAACATCTTGAAACTCCACATCTCCTTCCACCTGTGCGTCAGTTGAGGTCAATAGGGAATCACGCTACAAGTAGAAAGAGGGTCCGCTCTACTACAACGAAGAATGTGACCAAAGAGTTTGAGTTTTGCTTTCCGCCATGTATCACCAAAATGTTCGAAATTGCAGCCGTAGTGTTCCTGAATTTCGTGGTACATTCGCCCATTAGTCTCTGATCTGTCTATAAAAGTAGGAGGTTTACCTAGAATTCTGCGTAAAGACTTATTTCGGAAGGAATTTAAACGAGAGATTTCGGCATTACTCAACTGTATGCATTCCAACCCATAGAGTAACTTCGAACGAATGATTGCATTGAAGACTTGGATTTTCCATCGAATTGAAGTGTTTGCCTTATTCCAGAATAATTTCATCCTATTCCCTGTCGCAGTGCAGTCTGCCAATCTGTTCAGAAGTTCTGCCTTATTACTGAATGAATCAAATAAAATTGTGCCTAAGTAAGCTGCAGAACTTTTCTAGGAACCAACTTACTTACCTTGCCCAGGACCAGTTGGAGAGAAACAAACTGATGAAACTCTTTGGCTAGCAGTAATGTTAATGCACTTATCGATACTTATCGTAATTTAGTTTCAGTCCGAAATATTCAGAATGTCTTTCAATTGCATGTAGCAATACGTTGATGCAGCGTGCACCTGCGCCAAAAATCAGTGTGTCATCTGCAAAAAGCATTTCAGAGAAATAGATACCATCAATTAGTCCAATCTGGCGTGGAGTACATAGCTCAACCTTCAAGTCTGAGAAAATGACCCCCATAACTAAAACAAATAAATAAGGACTCAGCGGGCAGCCCTGCCGAATCCCTGCTCGCTGGTATGTCCAATCTGAATTGTCTGAACCAACTTTGACCTTGAACTGAGGATTTTGGTAAAAACTTGCGACCAAGTTGCAAATCCTATTCGGGACCAGCAAGCATTTTAGAGCCTCAATCACCTTTTCTTGGGCTACACGATCAAAAGCTTTTTCCCAATCTAATAGGATCAGAGTACTCCTGCTTCTAGATTTTTCGGCGATGTCCTGAAGACGTCCAGCTACATAAATGGCATGGCTTGTGGATTTCTTAGGTCGAAAGCCGTACTGAGTTTGCATCAGCCAAGGATCTAGTCCTGCCAAAAGCCTGTTCTTAATCAGCGCTGCAATGATCTTATAAGAGCAGGACAATAACGAGATGGGTCTGTAATTTGCGAGAGAAGATGAATCACCTTTCTTGTAAGTTGAAACCACCATTGCATTAAGAAACTTGTTAAAATCCATGGCTCGAAACCGTCGTTGGCAGCTTTCTGCAGTAGCATTCTGTTTTCAGTACTCAACCATTTGTATAATTCTGCAGGGATGCCATCATCGCCTGGAGTCCTGTTTCTCTTCAAACATGAAAGAACAGAATCCAGCTCAGTGATGCTGAAAGGAGAATCATCAACCTTGTACCTACCATTTTGAAGTGGGATATGCAAACGTGAAGGAAAAGAGTCAGCAGAAGAGGGTTTCCATTGAACATCATGGAGGTATTCAGCGTCTTTCTGGGGGTAGTTTTTGAAAGGAACATGGTTTCCATCAGCATCTTTGAATTTAGTAAAAGCTGGCGTGAATTGATTTCTCAGTCTTTTAAGTCCGTCCCACTTATAACCTTGGGAAGTGATGGTTTCCAATTGCTCGAGTACATGTTCCTCCTTATCTTGCTTAACTCGACGCTTAATGAGATCACTATACCTGTCAGCCTCATCAACTTCACCGGCATCGACTGCCGCCCACTTACGCTCCAGTAGCTCCCATGTGTCTGCCGACATGTAAGGTTTCTTTTGAAGAACCCATCTGTCCTCCCACACCGTCTGGAGGACAGGGGCCAGCGTCGTTGGCTGGTGGTTCCCGCAGGAACAGTTAGGCGTCCCCCCTCCGCGACTCATGCTTCTTTGAGCAGTTTTGTCGAAGTTGCAGCTTCTTGAGGGGAAACGCTGCGAAACACTAGTTCATATACTGAAACAATTGTCTAATCCTCTCAAAGCTGTTCCGCAGTTCTATCAACCTCAGCCTCCAATCTCCAACTGCTATACTGTAACCAAATTGTTTGACCACGGCACGCATGTCGCAAGGATTCTTGATCTTCAGACGTGTCGTGGTCATTCCACTTCTCAAGTCGAACGAACATATCATTCTGAATTCTGATATGTGACATGTCAAAACATGTCAGAAATCAGAATTTCAGCCATCAAGTATATCCGGAATTTAAATGTTCCATCATCCGTTTAAATGTTTGTTACTCAAGTTATTAGGTCCCCCTTTTGCACCAAATTCCTATTGTTGATGGTTAAATCCTCACTCATTCTGATGGTTCAACCATTAGTTCCCACTATAACTTGGATGGTTACTTGGTTTAACCATTGTTGATAGTGGGATGGTTGCTTGGTTTAACCAGATCAACCATTAGTTCTCACTAATGACTATTGTTGATGGTTAAATGGAACTAATGGAAACATTTTTAATCTCCAAGATGGTTAGTTACTTGGTTTAAGCATAGATTGTGAAAAGGGAACTAATGGAAACACATCAGAAACAAAACGAACCATAATTATGAACCATTAGTTCCCACAAATCCCTATTGTTGATGGTTAAAAACACATCAGAAAAGCCAACATATTGGAACTTTGGCTCCCCGTCTGAAAACAAACCTCCAGCGAGCCTGGCCTGTGCGTCGTGGTCGCCCGAAAGCACCGAAGGAGAACGGTCCATAAACTCGAAATGGTCCAGCAGCATGTCATGACCTCAGGTGGTGAGTGAATGGATGATTTATGACCAATGATAGGTTAATTGATGTTGATTTATCTGGGGAAATTACAAATTATTACAATATTTCACTAACCTGAAATGTTTGGCTATTTTGGGATAATTCCCTTATTGACCATGATTCCAGTGGGGGAGAACAGTGAGGTCGTTATAATTTACCCAGATTTATGAGTGATTGAGTGTTAACATTTATTGAGACTAACATAAACGATTGATTTATTGTGATGTTGTGAATGTTAGGAGCTGAATGAATCCATGTGAAGCCCACATCGCAAGAATTGGTTGATTTATGTTGATGTAATTATTGGTTGAGCCAGTTGTTTCGACAGAACCGGAGGAATCCCGTGCAAGTATCTTCCCAAGCGCGAAGCATACAGCAATCCAGCGTAGACTACACGCATCGGAATAACGGAACCACATGGAACCTGCGAAGATTCTGCAAACCTATCAATCCATATCTGGTTGGTGGTTTCAACCCTCTGAAAAATATGAGTTCGTCAGGATCATGAAATTCCCAACTGAATAGAAAAATATCAGCCATGTTCCAAACCACCAACCATCTATAAATCCATATATATATATATAGATCTCCCTGATTTCTTCAACCATTGGTGAAGTCGCTGGGCCATGGATTTTCTCCATGCCCCCCTGATTGAAAGGTCGTTTTATCCAAAAATTCTCGGTTTACAAGACCTCTCCATTGTTAAAACATCTCAAAACTGACTCAAAACATCTGAAATTCCCAAATCTGGTTGGATAAATTCCATATCAATCCCAGAAAATAGATCCAACATCCTCATTTTTCGGTAACATTTGCTTGGGAAATTCCAGCCACATCCTTGCAGACCCGGTGACGTCGTTGCAGTTCCTGGAACTGGTGACGGACTCTCTGCACGAGTCCTCCAACCTGCCCGGATGGGGGTTGTAAACCAACTGATAAGTGGCCTCGGCACCATCTTGTAGTAGGATATATATATATATAAGAAAGCCATACTATATCTTAATGTTATCTGTGGTGTATATGGTCTGATTCCATATTAGGGAACATATAGTATTCTATAATGGTGTATACTATACATATATATATATACACATATTCTAATAGTATCTAATAGTATTATAACCTGTCTATAATGCTATTATTATAAATAAGTATAGCGAACCGTTTAAAGATTGAACCAACAAAATGGTATGAAAACCCATGAAAACCCCCAACGAGTGCTTTGAATCATAAATCCCTTTGAATTATCAATGAAAGTGGTTGGGTTAAAATCTTCAACCTGCAGCAAGTGTTTTTTTTCACGAAAATTCAATCCAAAGTTGGGAGTTTCATGAGTTTCATGGAGTGGCATCTTGGAATCATATGTCCACAATGGAATGATTGTCAGATGCAGATCCCAGTAGCATACAGATGATGCATGTCCAGAACTGATCGTTATCTACTGCTAAAATAGGGCGAGATTGCGTTTTTCCAAGGGATCAAGGGGGTATTTTAGTACCAACCATGGGAATGTAAGCAACAAATTCCGGAAAAATGCGCCAACAAACTGTAGGAGATGGTACCGTAAGTGAAAAAAAAACCTGGCTACAGGAAAGAAGAGGTACCCAATGGGTCCCCTACATATCTGATGGATTCCCCTATACGGCCCTATACCCTGCAGACCATATGGCAACTGCCAAGCGAAGCATGGTTCAACTATCTTAGGCAACATGCTGCAACTCCTAGACCAGAAACAAGCAATTCTTAAAACAAAACTCCTACTACCGTCTGATCATTTAACATAGCTATTGAAAATACCACATGTACAGTTGATTTACCGATTCAAAATGGTGATTTTCCAGTTCGCTATGTAAACGTTTACCAGAGGGTATGCATCGTAGTTTATAGCATTGGTTTGATTGAAATTACCGAAAATTCGGTCAACAAAAATCCCATCCCGAAGCCAACAAAAAGTCACGTTCTTCCATTTTTCTCCATTGATAGATTTCTATACATATATAGACATATATATATATACATAAAAGATATCCCTATAGATAAAAGGACTATATCCCTCCGACAAAAATCCCTATTGTTGATGGTTAGTTGTCCTTTTACTACATGAAAAATCCTGGGAGTCACATGTTTTCAATGGGAATAAAAAAGGATCCTAAAATGTAGGTAGTGTACCATATAAGGCCACATTTTCTGAGGATATTCACTTGCTATAGGCCTGAAAAATAGGCCTTATACAATACCTTCTGGTAAACAAACAGTTTGCGAACTGGAAAATGGCCATAGAAATAATTGATTTACATATTTTTTTAAAAAATGTGATGTTCCACATAGTTATGTTAGTTTACCAGAGGGTATATGTTAAGTACCTCCAATAAATCGGTTCCTGAAATGGCCATTGATGTTTCTAACAACCATGGTGCAATCCCAGGAAGTTCCCACAGTCCTGTTGCACCAGCAGCAAGTAGGCCGTCATGTCACCTGCAGAGAAGTCACGCCTCAGCCGGCAGGTGCGAATCGGGGGGGCGATGAGCTAAGCTGAAGCTGGTTTTAACCCAAACATGGGGATATAAAAATCCTTATAATAACTTATATGTGTATATGTACCTGGTTGGCGGTTTCAACCCCTCTGAACAATATTAGTCAGTTGGTATGATTATTCCCAATATATGGAAAACATAAAAAATGTTCCAAACCACAGACCAGATACATATGTACATGTTTACTTGATTGAATTTATGTATTATCTGATTGGTGAAATCACATATATATATATATATACACATATGCATACGGTTCATTGAACCGTCTCAAACTATTTAATGTGAAAAGTATTGTTATACTATACCCAACCATACCAAATCATTCTATATTTAACTATATTTAACTATGTGATTAAGTGAAAGCCATATAAATACCAATTTTTACTTATAAATCCAGATATTATCAGATAATTCCATATAATTCCTATGATTAACAGTAACAAATTCATAACATCCTTAGTTCCAAAGGCATATCGAAAAACGAGGCACACATCAGCACAGGGCCCCGACTCCATCCAGACGAGGCCACACCAAAGGCAAAAGCAGTACCTTCCCAGAAGAAGATACTGGAACCAGGGATCTTCTGGAATTAATCATACAGTTATATCATATAAAATATAAATTTTAGGTGACATATGGTATATAGAATTATGAATATATATATAATATATATATATGGGGATACTGTAAGACATATATTATCTAATTTCTGATCTGGTTGGTGGTTTCAACCCCTCTGAAAAATTATGAAAGTCAGTTGGGATTATTATTCCCAATATGGAAAATTTAAGAATGTTCCAAACCGCCAACCAGTAATATATCTAAGTTTCTTATAGTAAGAGGGGTAGCATTGAGTTATGAGACCCACTTACTTTGTAGGTTGAATCTGTATATTAACACATATATATAATATATATATATATATGAGTGTGGTATTTCATACTATAGTTCTGACAACTACTTTTGTCCGTAGGTCAGCAGCAGGGATGTAGCCTACTGAGTGTGATGAAACAATTGTGTTTGTCGGGCTGGTTTAACCCCAATGGGGTACGTGTTTGTTTCAAGGGTGACTGAAAACACTGCCACAGTCGCAAAAATCAAGCGAATGTACCCTCTGGTAAAAAAAAAACATAGCTATTGAAAATGACCATTAATAGTGAGTTGTTTCCATTAAAACTGGTGATTTTCCATAGTTATGTTAGTTTACCAGAGGGTAAATGAGATAGTACATGAGGTAGTCATAGTTCCCTTTTGTAAACAACACTTTCCAAGTCTGCTCCCAAGGATTTTTCAAATGGATCCTCCACAATAATGATTGGACTCTAGAAGGATGCGGCCAACATCATCACCAACATCATACAGCTATGATTATGATAAGGCAAAATGATCAAGATGATTTTGTAGATGTATAACAAATAATTCTCAGATGAGGAGCAACAGAAGGAGGCAGCAGGCAGCAGCAGCACACCCTCGGGTTTCGTAAAATGCTTCACAAATATATCCGCATGTCTTATCCTGCCGCATGAATATTGTGTTAAACGTAAAACAAATTTGTGGTGGAAAAGGCTCCCTGGATCGGTTGCCCTCTGGTAAACGTTTACATAACTATGGACAATCACCATTTTTAATGGGAAAATCCATTATAAATGGCCATTTTCAATAGCTACGTTAAATTACCAGAGGGTAGTTTGTTTATAACTTGGCTCACGATTGGATTTATGGTGGATTGATCTATCGCTTTCCCCGACCAACTATGACGAACATTGATCCTTGGGGCCCTTCCTTTGGGAATCAAATATACCCAAAGAAACTTTCCCACTGATATCCATGTATAGATTTATTTTATCCACCCGGAATGGAAATGTCCTAGCAGTGCTTGATTCATGCGCGAACATGGCGTTCTTTTAGCTGTTTTCTCGATTTGTTTTTATCATCTTCCCTCACTGGATTTTGCCATTGTGGAGTATACCCTCTGGTAAATTAACATAACTATGGAAAATCACCATTTTTCATGGGAAAACTCACCATAAATGACCATTTTCAATAGCTATGTTAAATTACCAGAGAGTAGAGAGTTCTTGGACAAACCCAAATCCAGAAATTCTCATGGTGACGTGCTCAAAATTTTGATGGGGATGAATCCAATTCACATCCCATTGATATCAACCAATCCACAGTATTTTCAATGGCCATTTCAGGAACCGATTGATTGGAGATACCTACCATATATAAAGCCTATTTTAGGCCTAAATTTCAGGGAATATCCCCACAAAATATGGCCAAACATATGGTTACCAACGTACCTCCATTTTAGGATCCCCTTGGGCCCCTCTTGGGGCCCCAAGGATCGCACACGCATCGCTGAGTGATCTCGGGCAGTAGTTGCCCAATACCTGGGCGGAGGCTCCGCCAAAAAGGGGACTGGGTCATTACACAATCAAATCATTGGGACTGACATTGTATGACCATTGGATATGATTTAGAGATATTGAAAAAGTTTCCGATATGATTATCGTTTACCAAACAAAGTTGTGGGGGTTAACGCCAGCCCTGATGTGGATAGAATGGGGATATCTAGCCCTTGGTCGTGCCCGGTTCGTTCATAAAGTCGGTTTATAACTTGGCTGGTTGGTGGTTTTAACCATCTTGAAAAATATGAGTTCGTCAATGGGAAGTATTATCCCATGTATTGTGGAAAACAAGAAATGTTTGAAACCACCAACCAGTTGGGTAATCTTGGATTATGCTGCTTATAACTTAAGCAAAAACCATAAATAATGGCTTGAATGGCTTGGATGGGTTTATACACCGACAAACTTCAGTGCCTCATGGCGAACGTTTTTGATGGTGCTTAAGACGGTGAAAAATGTTCAGCTGGGGGGCACCACCAACCGTAGGGATTCTTGTTGGCTGGATATACGAAAACGGAGAGGTGACCATTTTAGAACTGGGAAAACTTAACCATGTAGCTTGACCATGCCACCATGACGCCTGAAAAATGGATCAAGAGTAAATCAACAAAGTTCAACAAGAACTGCCGATATTTGAGGGTAAATGTTGCAAGGTCTTTCGTTTTTTTTCCACTTGAATCAATCCTCAAAGATATGCGGTATGGTCATCCAAGCACGAATTCATGAAATCTGCGGTGTTGCCCCCCATCCTTTTGTCAAATCATTGGCAACACCCATCCTTTTGACAAATTTCATCATTCATGTTGGGTTTTTTTCTGGATAGGTTAGATAGATGGATAGATAGATTGGATATATATATATACACCAAATCTATCATGTTGGGCTTTTACAACAGGCATCGAATCCGAAGTTAGGGCGTCTTTCCCCGCTTGGATGGTTCCATTCGGTTCCATGGGATGTGAAACCTTGGAGCCACAACTCACTGGAATGATCCTGCTGGGATCATTCCACAACCATAGAAAAACATAGAACAACCATAGGAAAACCATAGGAAATGGTTCATGATATATGTACCATCAAAAGTCCCATTGAAGACCAATGGTAAGTTAGCATAGTTCCATTTAACCCAAAAAACACCCAAACAAAGCGTTTCTGGGTACAAATCAAACTTTTCTTCACGCTACTCCATGCACGGGACGCCCAAGTTGCGCCCAAGTTGCCGTGTTTCACGCTGCGCTTCCACTTGAGATTTTCCGGCTGATCTGCCTTGCATTGGAACTTGGAATATTGGAACATCGGATTTTAGCTGGGAAGAATCACGGACCATGGATGATTATATCATACTATATATATGTTATAAACTAGTGACACACACATATATATATATATATACTATGGATAATATATACTATGGATAATTAATTACCCTTCTGTAAACAATCGCATAGTTATGTCTTTCACTGCCACCGTGTGTAGATCATTTTCTGAAAAAAAAACACAGATTTTCCACAGAACATGCGACTATTGCTCTCGGAATACAACAAGGCTATATATGTTATATGATGTTATTAATGGAACATCAGAAAAAATCTAGAAGATATTTCCACGAAAGCCGATTATGCCATCTTTGATTAAGCCACAGGCAACATTTTGTGCGGCCCCCATTAAAACGAGAGCTAATAAAGAAGCCACCTGGACCTCTATCAGATTCTATCCGCTATGTCCAGCCTTGGCCATGCCGCTGGCTGCCAGGGAAACCAAGGCCACGTGTTTGTCCTGGGCCACTGGGCCAGGCTCAGTGGGCTCCAGTGGGCACATGATCGGATTCACCCCATCAATTCATGGTGATTTCATGGTGACCTGGTTGGTGATTAATGGTGGTTAATATTTGGTTATTATATGGTTATTATATGGTTATTATATGGTTAATGGTGGTTAATGGTGGTTAATGGTGGTTAATGGTGGTTAATGGTGGTTAATGGTGGTTAATGGTGGTTAATAGTGATTAATAGTGATTGATGCTGGTCAATGATGGTAAATGATGGTTAATAGTGATTAATAGTGACTAATGCTGGTTAATGATGGTTCATTATATAACTGGTTGGTGGTATACCTACCTACCCCTCTGAAAAATGATGGAGTTCGTCAGTTGGGATGATGAAATTCCCAACTGGATGGAAAAAATAAAAATGTTCCAAACCACCACAACCAGATATGATCAGCAAAAATCTATTTATCCTGATTTAACTACAACAGTTCAACCGACTGCTTCCACTGTTGACGCCACTCTTCCTGTGGGTCTGACAGCCACGTCACTGTCCAAGCCCGGTACTCCTCAGTAGGAGGGCAGCCTTCCATTTCAATGCCGGCCCCAGCTGAGGAATCGAAGTCTATCGAAGTCGGTTACTGACGGCACCTGCCTCTGCCAGCAATATTCGTGCCAGCGCTCACTAATACCACGAGCTGCCGAAACTTGACAACCCCTGGCACTGGGAGCTGGTGGCTTTCTGGTTTGAAAGGCTTCACCAAAGACTTGCTCCGCTGCATTTTCTTGACAGTGCGATTCAACCACACAAAAATAGGATTTAACCACAAAAAATATGGAGGTAACTACCAAACATGGCGATCTATATTGGATTTATGATAAGTTTCACTTCGCTGGAACAACTCCACAAACTGTTCGATTTATGGTGGATATATCTACACTTGAATGGGTGAGCATATCAACCAACAAACATATCTGGGAGGCCCCGCTCTGCGTATATTACGACAGACACAGCGTAGTGTATTTATTTGCCAAGATGGATCAACACTGTCATTTATAGTACTGACGGTGATGACACATCCATGGGCATGTGTTCAGTTGGTTACCAATGGACCTACAACGGTCATGCGCCCATCCGCTTTCTTGGGGTCCATTCTTGGAGATGCGAACTCCACACAAAAAAAAACATGTCCTGGTTGGTGGTTGAGCCACCCCTCTGAAAAATATTAGTCAGTTGACAGTTGGAGTTACTATTCCCAACATATGGAAACATGAAAAATGTTTGAAAGCACCAAGCAGACATTACTAATTATTCCATTACCAGACATTTAATCACCATTAAATCACCATTAATCAACATTAATATTCCATGTTCCTCACTTTTGACCCCAAACCCAAACCCTTTTCACGGTCCTCGCGACTAAAACATTTCACGGTCCTGGCCAAGCTGTTCGTGGAGCGCTTGGGATCAAGCTGTTCATGTCAGGTGAATATATCCCATGACGGATCCATAGTGCTGGTATATTAATGCTAACATAACTGGGGTATATGGATGGGATCCATGTTACCATATATAACATACATGGATTCAGGTGAATATATGGAATTCTCTGAAAATTATAACCCTAAATCCATTGGATTACTATCATATTCCCAATTAATTAATACGTAGCCATTTGGGGGTATAGCCTATTTTCAGACACACCCATATCAATATTGATCTATGTCTGGGTGGTTTACCAAGTCAGACGACCGGTGATTCAAACCAGCGATGGAACGGAGAAATGTTTCACCCTCTGACCATCGAGCATCGACGCCAAAAAATGCCAATATCCAACAGGATCCAATAGGAGAGTCAATCGAAATCCAACTTAGCTGGGGCTTCCACTATTCACCATTATTATGTATCATATATATATATATATCACTATTGTTCTAATTTACGCCATGTTCAATTTTTGGCTGGCACACTGACTACAATCCAGCGATAAAATCTGATCCAGGGCATCAACTCTATCAACTCTTCCGGATTCAACAGTGATAAATTCCAAAAAAAACTAGCTATAGCAGTCAGTGAAGTTATAAACCAATAAACACCTATCATTCAACGGATTGGTTTGAGGGAAAATCTACAGGCAACACCGATTTTCCATGATGTTCCCATTAAATATAGGGGTTTCCTGTAATGTTTCCGTGAAACCAATCCATTGACTATCATAAATCAACTATCAACATCCATCTCTTGGCGGTTATCTAATTCCCGGAAGGTCATGCCATGCTGGGTGTTTTCCCTGCCAGAAAGGATTTGCTTTGATCTGAGCAAGTGAATGTCCATTCATTAAACTATAATGATGAATGATTATATTTAAAATAGAATATAGACTATGAAATATATTATGGCAAACATGTTGATGTTATGTAAGCCATCATATTGTTGATATGATCACATATTATGTCATCTATTTGCTTTTGCATGTTGGTGAGTATAAAAAACTCAACATATACCAACCATATATATATGTAGATAACCATACTGGACGTACATAAATCTAGATCATTCACCAACTAAACTGACATCATTTATGGTGAGGTCCTGGTGATGTGCAATGCACACCCAGAGTTCATGGCAACAAAGACACCATGAGACAACAATTCCATCAATATAAACATGATCAACATATTCTTCATATTAGGTTTATATATAATATATCAACCTAATATACATATTATATATATATATATATTAAATATATATGAAACATTATGGAACACCCCCCCCATTCAATGGGTCCCAAAGCTGTGATTTCATCCCCATCCACCATCGGGAAACCGGATCCTGATCATGTACACGGCCTCATGGACCACACTGGACCTGGGAGTGGCACCATGACTGACAGTTTGCGACATAGAAAATGGCCATAGAAATAGTAGATTTTCCCATTAATCTTGGTGATTTTCCATAGTTCTCTTGGTTTACCAGAGGGTAAATGGCTTGGGTATCCCAACAGAATTTGGGTTTTCATAATTTGCAATAAATCAGTTACTTTACTGGTAAACTAAGAGTTTGCGAACTGGAAAGTGGCCATTGATTTATAGTTGATTTACCGAACATATTGATTTTCCAAAGTCATGCTAGATTGCCAGAGGCTACTTCCATGTTTGTTTTGCTTAGACCCGTAAAGCCAGTTATAGCCAATTAAAAGGGAGTGTTCAGCGCATCAGAAATTACAATACACATACCATGTGAGGTCAAGGATCGTAAACCCACAACAAATTGTTGGTAGACATCCGCAACCTTTAACACGTCATCAACTGAGGTAGATAGAATATAGGATGTTCAACGATATTCTCATTATCGTGGTGATATTTTAAAATCTCCATGTTCTATCTACTCCAGGATGACTATAATTGTCCACACCCACATCCTCGTTTCTATCGCTGACTATCCCCCCTTCGCCAGCCCGCCCAAAGGGGTTTGCCTGCATAGCTACGCCACCAAGGTACTCCCACATTCCCTCCGTATGAGTTATGATACTGGTTGATAAATAGGTATCCCATGGTATCTCATGAAGAATGAAGTATGGGCAGTAACCATCCTCAAGAAACCAGGTAGGAATAGCCATTCATAACCCCGCCATCAAGAGGAATATTTCTCATGGCTCCAAATTCAGACCCGAGGCGCGACATACTCTGCAAGCCGTTTTCGCGACGTGTCTGTGCTCGGAAACTTTGTCCGAAATACCTGCAGCAGCGACGGTGATATAATGTGATACCCCAGCTCCTTTAAAGAAGTCCTCAAACCTTTCTGTATCTGTGGTTACTAACAGGTTGCCAAGAAATTTGAATATGATATAATATCCTAGGCCCTATGCCAGCTAACATTGTCTGACATAAGTCGAATTACCAGATGTAACCAGTTTCATGCAGTGAAGTGATCCTCCAAGAGAATCAACTTATTTCCTGGCTTGTGGGAGTTGAAAGACCTACAATTGTACCCTCTGGTAAACTAACATAACTATGGAAAATCACAATTTTTCATGGGAAAATCCACTATTTCTATGGCCATTTTCTGTAGCATTACCAGAGGGTATATTACGTGTATCAAATCTGACCATGTTTTTCGGTATGAACATCCATCAATGTCATGGGGATTTAGCTGCTAATTTAGCTATTATCATGGACATAACATGGGAGTATAATCGCGATCTGGTTGGTGGTTTCAACCCCTCTGAAAAATATTAATCAGTTGGGATGATTTTTCCCAATATATGGAAAAATAAAAAATGTTCCAAACCACCAACCAGGTGATATAATTGGACTAGTGACTAGTGGGATATATCACCAACTTGATATGATCAATATTGGGCCCCCTGTCCCTGGTCACACCAGCATCTTGAAGGATATGTACTGGGCGCCAGGTTTTTAACTCATAGCGATATGGTCAATGGGAATTCCAAGATCCTAAAATGGAGGTCCGTTAGTACCATTTAAGGCCATATTTTGAAGGTATATCCCCTTACATAGGCCTTATATATGGTACCCTCTGGTAAACTAACATAGGTATTGAAAATGGTTATTTATAGTTGATTTACCCATTAAAAATTGTGATTTTCCATAGTTATGTAAACGTTTACCAGAGGGTAGGCTCCAATTTAGGTTCCTGAAATGGCCATTGATATGGCTGAGTAATCCTGACCATGGCACGCAATTTGGGTTTTCCCAAGGTGCGAAGTGGTAGATGCTAGCAGGGTGAGTGGCAGGGGCGTCTTGCAACTCAAAAACAACATGGCCAACCAACCGCTTGGGGGTGCAGTCTAACTATTGGGCTTAAAATTGGTTTTACCAAGTTAATTGGGTTAACTATTGGGTGTAAATGGGTTTAACCAAGTTTAAATGGTTGGGTTAAATGGGTTAACTATTGGGTTTCACCTCCATAAGTCCCCTTTGCCAATTTTCTAGAAGTTCCTGTTTTCTTGGTTTGACCATTCCCATGACTCGACCGGTTGTTTCCTTGGATCATGGGGATGCCGCGCAAGCCAACAATGACTGAAACATGTCCCCAAAAATACGGGTGGAACCGAAGAAACACCAGCTGCACTGCACCACATCTGAGCCCCGCCGATGACGTACGCCCAAAACCATCGGGAAGATATGGCATTAAGAACACAACTGCTCTCGACTGCTCTGCTCTTCTTGATGTCAAGGTCACGTCTCAAATTTGAAAGCCAAGGATAGGTACATAGAGACATCCGGCATGGAACTATGTTTCCATTGCTGAAACATCGCCATTCACCAGCCATTGTTGTGGCCAAATCTTGCAGCAATCATAGATTCTGATCCTAGAATCCTAGATCCCAAACCATTGAGTCAAGGGTTTTTCTTTGGTTCAGGCACTTGCCTCTATCTGTGTTTTGGCACACGTCCAATGTTGTCCTCGATGTTGTAAGTGATGTTGTGAATTTCTCGTTTTTTTTCCACGTAAATTTTGATGTTTTAAATTTGGCGTTTTTTTTCACGTAAATTTTGATGTTGTAAATTTGGCGGGGTTTTTTCTCACGTAAATTTTGATGTTGTAAATTTGGCGTTTTTTTTTCTCACGTAAATTTTGATGTTTTAAATTTGGTGTTTTTTTCTCACGTATTTTTTGATGTTGTAGATTTGGTGTTTTTTTTCTCACGTAATTTTTGATGTTGTAAATTTGGCGTTTTTTTCTCATGTAAATATTGATATTGTAAATTTGGCATATTTTTTCTCGCGATTTCTCACGTAAATTTTGATGTTGTAAATTTGGTGTTTTTTTTCCTCACGTAAATTTTGTTGTAAATTTGGTGTTTTTTCCCGACGTAAATTTTGATGCTGTAAATTTGGCATTTTTGATTCATTATGATTACGAAGTTTTGATTCATTATTCTGATAAGTGATAAGTTAAGTTAAAGTATCTGTTTTTGTCAGCCCACCAGTTGAAAGGTTGTTAAGTTATCAGTAAGTTATCCATGTCAATGGTGATAAAATTACATGTTTAAACACTAAGTTCAAGTTAAGTTCAAAAAATATAGAAAAATACTTTTTAAAACATGGCAAATTTCCGGTACATCCGAACGGTTCAGAACGGTTCAGGCGTATCAGTTTCTGATACATCCGAACGGTTCAGAACGGTTCAGGCGTCTCCGAACTATCCCGAACCATTCCGAACTATTCCGAACTATTCCGAACTAATCCGAACTCAGGCCTCCGATACATCCGAACGGTTCAGAACGGTTCAAGCGTATCAGGTTTTTGCCTTAGATTCTAAGCTTAAAAGTTGGCAATTTTTACAACATATTATCATTTAAGTTAACAAGTTGAAGATGCATGACTTGTAAGCAAGTAAAGGTTTTAAGCTATGAGGTTTTAAGTTAGTTACAAATTATAAGAGGAAGAAAAGTTGTAAGACAAGTGATGTCAGTTGCAAGTTGTGAGTTGTAAATTGCCATAAGCCAAGGTACTTCAAGTAAAACTTCGGTGAAGAAAAACATGTCTGAAAGTAACTTAGGCTGTGACACAAGTCGTGGCAGAATGTTTTCCCAAAGAACGGGGCTGGAAGAAACTTAGGCTAAATTTCACAATCTTCTGACAAGTATATGTCACACCCAAACCCGTCTAAGGCAGGCAATCTTGTCACGTGAGCGGTCAGTGGCCCTCTGAGATCCATCCTGCATGGGGGCAAGGATGGGGAAAACGGTGTGACACCTGAACCGTTCTGAACCGTTCGGATGCATTTCATATAGTTCGGAATAGTTCGGGATAGTTCGGGATAGTTCGGGACTGTGTTTATATTAAGCTCTTGCCTCTATAATTTGCCTGTGTGTCATCACACATTTGCCCATAAGTTTACAGCACTAGTCACACAGTACTTCAGTGAGATCGAATTTTGCGTGCGTACGTACGTGCGTGGACGTGCGTGCGTGCGTGCATCCTGATCGGACCTGCCTTTCTCGCAGGTGAGTCTTGTCTTGTTACCTGCCGTTACCTACCAGTTTTACTTGCCACAGCCTACCAGGATCTACCAGGTTTAAGGAAACGAATTAGTTCATCATTTATTCAGCATTATGCATTATGCAACACTTACAAGCAGGAAGTGACGATGTGACAACGCAACCATGTACCAATGTGTGACAGTGACACACAAGCACGGTTATCACCAAGAACGGAGCAACGAGAACAAGAACAGGAAAGCAAAGAAAAAGAAGAAGAGCAACAACAACAACAACGACGACGACGACGATGACGACGGCATAACCAACAAATGAAGGGCCAATGGAGGGACAAAAAGACAAGTTAAACACACCCACCAGCTTCAATGCCAGCTGAATTTCAAGAAACAAACAAAAACCAAAAACTGTAATCAGGAATCAGGAGTGTGACAATACAAAAAGAATTGACCCATCTCAACATCAAAACAATCATTGCAATAACGACATGAACAAAAATGGGCGCGCATAGTAAATCATGAATCATGACTCATGACGCAAAAATCACAGGAAACAAAAAAATACCACTCACAATGTCAGTCATGACTTGAAGCAAGAAAAGTTCGGGGTTGATAACATCAATCATGACATGAACAAGACTAAAAGTGGCGTTTACAAGATCCAAATTTAAGAAAAAAATGGCGTTTATACAGCGTCAAAATGTACGTAAGGAAAAAAAATGGCGTTTACAACGTCAAAATTTACGTAAGACAAAAAAATCGGCGTTTACAACGTCAATATTTACGTAAGAGAAAAAAATCGGCGTTTACAACGTCAATATTTACGTAAGAAAAAAATCGGCGTTTACAACGTCAAAATTTACGTAAGACAAAAAAAAATCGGCGTTTACAACGTCAAAATTTACGTAAGACAAAAAAAATCGGCGTTTACAACGTCAAAATTTACGTAAGACAAAAAAAAAATCGGCGTTTACAACGTCAAAATTTACGTAAGACAAAAAAAATCGGCGTTTACAACGTCAAAATTTACGCAAGACAAAAAAATTGGCGTTTACAACGTCAAAATTTACGTAAGACAAACAAAAATCGGCGTTTACAACGTCACCGACAACGTCAACCAGAACGGTACAAGTTATTCTTCACCAAATGATTTTCATTTTCTTGGTAAAGCATACCCCATAATCAAATTGTGTTCGCAACCAAGAGCACTTGTTCCCCCTCAGTCATCCCTTGATGCCGCCTTCGAATTGATTGCTCCATGAGGGGCAACAGCACAGTGTAGGCGAGCCTCAGTAGCGCAGAGTATACAGCTTTTCTCGCGGGGATAATGGGGAACAAAAATCAACGTTCCTGCCGTCCAAAATATGTGATGAAATATCAATCAGCTAAATCTATATTTATAGATATATACATTATATATCATTATATATATATACATACACAATATCTATACACTATAATGCAATATTCTACCATCTAAACAGATATCTTCAAATAGCGCCAGGTTTTCCTACTAAGGCTGACCTTCAACTTGTGGACGACCTGCTGAGTCCCAACTGGTGGATTTCCCATAGATTTCCGTGAGAATTTATCGTAGAAGCCGGTAATTTAACATAGCTAGGAGAACAAAACATAATGTTAAATACAGTATATTAAAAACACATTCATTGGACTAAATTAGCAATTTTCCAATGGCTATGCTAAATTTCTGGAGGGTCATGGACTACTTTTACATTGTGCTCTGAGCAAAGAAACGCTGGAAAGTTGAGCAAAAATGTCAGTTGGACTCCATTCTTTCGACAGCATCTTGGGGATTTGGGATGTCCAGCAGTACCCTGTCAGTTGGTAGGAGTTTCCCAGCTCGCTAATGAGGTCTCAACATACTCCTGTATTTTAAAAAACATACCCTCTGGTAATTTAACATAGCTATTGAAAATGGCCCAGTCGAAATAGTTGATTTTCCCATTACACATTAGGTGATTTTCCAGTTCGTTATGTAAACGTTTACCAGAGGGTATTCTATGACTATCGCTTAAAGTTCTTGGAAATCCTGAACATGATCCCGTGGGTCCAGTCAGTTTCCCGAACTGGGCACATATGGAGGTCTCCTAAAATGGAGGTGCCCCGAAATCATCCGTATTTTAAAAGGATTTTCCATCATAAAACATCCATTTTGCGGGGTACCGAAACCTCCATGGATATTTCTATGGGCATCCGCCCTTGGCTGCCGCACGTCATCAACGGTGAAATGGCGAAGAGGAAAACCAGTTGCGTCGCCAATTTCACCTGAGCAAAAAGCCAGCCGCCCAATGTTGCGATTGAAGCTGTGAACTGGTGAGTGATCTCAACAGGCAGCTCATTGATCGCGGACCGTTTGAAGTTGTTTGAACATGCGGAAAATTGATTCACATGTGCATTCATATGCTAGCAGTTTTACAGGTGAAAACATGTTATAAAGCATGGAACTTAGGAAATACTATTTCCATCTATTTCAGACAAACCCGTGTATAGCTAGAAGGGTCATGATTTTGAGGAACCCCGGTATCAACGAAATAATTTACTGTATTTAGTCTAATCATTGCCAACTTTTTTGCAGAAACTCCGTAGAACCACAAAGAATCCAATCTATGGCTAGTTGTGGATCAAGATCCTCTGGTGAAAATGGTTGGGATGTTGACCGACGCAAATCATCTCGTTGCGATGTTGGAACTCCTCAAAATCAGTGGTGGCTCAAGTCATCCCAGGATCACTTTTCAATGGGGATCTAGTGGATATATTCAAACGTGGTTCGTGGATATCCCCATTGGGATCTATTGGTGGATATCCTCATCTACTACAGTAACAATAGATCCCATGACGGATCCATGGTGCTGGTATATATGCTAACATGACTGGGGTATATGGATGGGATCCATGTTACCATATATAACAGACATGGATCCTATGGGGATTGAAGTATCAAGGTGCCCATCTAGTGGGTGTACCCAAAAATCAGTGCACTGCAGCGAGCTGGCTGGGTGCCCTTGGGTGCCCTGAAAGGGTGCCCGCGCCGTGTCTGCCGCAACGCCCCAAACCCATTCAGTGACCTGGGAAGCCGTCAGGCGACCTGGGTAGGTACCACAGCCATTTTAAGTTGGCTAATCAATGTTGTTCGTCGTCAAAATGAACATGAACAAAAATAACAAACCTGGATTGAACCAAGCAAAAGCATGGGGCTTTTACAAAAATGCAAAGGTGTAATTAACAGAAGAGGTTTATCCGGCGATCAGTATAACTCAACATCACTGACATCAGTGTCAGGATATGATAATTGCAACATGTATAGCTCAACTTTCACTGACCTAGCCCGTCCGACCAAGGTTTTTTGTATATGAATTAAACATAGTCTGTGCTTCGCAAAAGGACAACATCCTGAATGTGTAGCTTACTCTTGGTGGAGATGGCTAGGGATCCCATATATATATAAATATATAAGGAAGTTTCAGAAAAGTTAGTCTTTTCAGATTTTGGTTCTTTGACGTTCTTTGGGTCAATGCTCAAGATGCCAAGTATCTATGAAAGTATATCATCTCCACAAACACTACCATCAGAACATCATTGACCACAATCGTCAAAGTGCATCTTCAGTAAACCGGTGAAGGGGGGTCCTTGTGGAAGTTTGTGAGCCTTTTGGTGCGCGTTTTTCCGCAAGTTTCTGACCCTACGACCACAAAACCATTAGTTTCAGCCTTCACCTTGGAACAAGTCTATATACACTTCCAGTAACGACACTTTTTAGGTGTCTCGTGCTGGACAAAAAATCCCAAACTATGTGCTCCTGAAAATTGGAGAGGGGCGGCGAGTTATTAAGGCTAGTGGGGGCGGCGAGCTGTTGAGGTCTTGGGGGGCGGCGAGCTCTTCCTAGAAGAGCTCTCCACTTCAAGTTCGATTTTTTCCCTGTACAGCGGACAGATCCCCAGTGAATGCGACTTAAAAACCTGGCTTCACTCAAACTCCAAAATTGGTGGATCAATTTTCCATTTTGAGGTCATTGTCCATTTGGTTTTGGCATGTTCTGACCATTGATCAGGCTTCACTTGTCTCTTCACGCTTTCCATGTCTAAAATCCCCCAATTTGCTGGACACTCTCTCTAATTTAAATTGAGTTCAATTTGCAGCACAACTCGATTTGTCAGATCCCACATAGGTAATACCACTTTGGAGATAAATAGGTACGAATTCCTGGGCCACAAATTCTGTTCTGGCGTTCGGTCGTTTCCTGGTGTTGTGTTTGATTTCTTCCAAAAGGCTTGAAACCAAAAGGTTGTGGTGCAAATTAATGAAGACAAAGGCTTCAGGATTCATCCAGCCAAACCCTTCCGGGAAACCAAAGAACCGGTTTATCTGAAAAGACTAACATTTCTGAAACGTCCAAAAATATATGAAAACGTGAGGAGAACATATCCATTTTTTTGGATTGCTATATCAACACAACCATTCTATACATAGCGCATTTATAGTTACAGTTATATTATATAATATCTATGTGTGGTTGTGAGCAACATATTCATCAACATATATTGTTTAAAAATGTAGGCCCCAGAGGGGCCGCTAAGCATATATATATATATTCTGTTGTGGATCCCACAAACCTTGGAGGACCATCCAACCGGCCAGCCGTAGCCGTCACTTCCAAGCTGTTTAAAATTTATGGGACCGACGACGACCTGTGGATTTACCACCCGGGCCCCAAGCTAGAAGTTGCCTGACAAAACCATCTACAGTACGTTATATTCTCTATAAACCCGTTATTGTTACTGCAGGTACCTAATCAACTAGCAACATTCTTTCCAATCTTTGGTTGGTTAAAATTCAAGTCAAATCCTGTTTATGTCCCATTATATCCCCATTGTGGCTGGATTGAAACCCCCAAGAACTTTATTCGGTAGAGATCCAAGTCCCTAGATTGTTCAATACCTGATGCTTAATAACTATAATCCCAGTATAATCCCCACTCACACCAACTTCGACTTCAATTTCCGCGCTGATTCTACACTTCTCAGTAATGACCTTGACATGGCAGGCCCTCTTCTGGGCGCAAAAGTAGGCTTCGATGCCCTGGGGGCACTTGCCATTCGCTAGCGTGGTAACTATCAGTGAAAATGGGTAAAAATCAACCGGCCGTCCTTGTCGGTGCGCTGCTGTGCTGCCATTGTGTGGCCGCAGGAGGAAGGAAACATGGATGAAACTGGTGTGCGGGCAAAGTATACCAGGTGATCAAACATTTGCCGGGGCCATATGGCATCGCGGAAAACGACCTCACCAAAGGTGTTCCTTCCTTGATGTAGCTGCATTGCGTCACCAAATCTTGTCCAAGCTCATGCCTTCGGAACACCTTGACACAAGCGTAAAGCGAATCTCTGTGAGACTTCGCTCGCACGTCCAAGCCCAGCTTGGTTGCCACTAGCTCCACCAAGCTGTCGGTGGCCAGTGATTCCACTATTATTTTGCATATATTCTCTAACTTGGTGGGAAAAAATCGTTGAACACCCCAGGAAAACTCTGGACACCCCGCAACGGATCCGAATCTGCGGGTGCCGCACCTCGCTCATTGCGCGAAGTTCCACCTTCTGCACCAGATCTCGTTGTCGCAGGGTGTCATACAACGCCTGCGGTTCGATGGTGGGGGATTGAGCTCTCAAACCATGGTGATTCAATCGAGATATGCAAGCACCAATATGATATGGGTGTGAGGGAAAACGTAATTTAATGGGATATAATGGCACAGTGTTGACAGACTAATTGGGGAAATTGGAATGTCATGGGATATCATGTGATATCAATAACTGTATGTATATATATATATACACCCCGTGGTAGACGAACATAACTATGGAAATTCACCATTTTTAATGAGGAAACCAACTATAAATGGCAATGTTCAATAGCTATGTTAGTTTACCAGATGGTATAATATATTATTTTATATTATATTTTATTTTACTATATTATATTATATTATATTATATAATTTATAGTATATTATATGATATTATCTGATATTATATTATATTATATTATATTACATTATATTCTATTATATTACATTATATTACATTATATTACATTATATTACATTATATTATGTTATATTACATTATATTATATTATATATTGTATTATATTATATTATATTATTTATAATATATTATATTATATTATATATAATATATTAAATTATTTATAATATATTATATTACATTATATATTATATATTATATATTATATAATATATAATATAGTATATATTATATAATATAATATATTATATATTACATTATATTATATTATATTATATTGTGTTATATTATATTATATTATATATATGTAAATCATATAGTGTCACATACATCTCAAGGATATGCATGTTGAGGCTACTCTCGCTAGCTGCCGCTCATTGTCACTTCTCATCTACACAACATCCTTGTTGTACAGCTGTTTAACGCAGGTTTGCCTTGCATGGCTAGTGGTCGTGCACAGCTAGGACACAACCGGTAGCCAGGGTCACCCGCTGGCTAGGATGTGAAGCTGCCCACTCAGCTTCAGACCTGTCACGCGCGTCCCACCTGCTACTCCCTGTAACTCAGAGGTCAGAGGTCCCATGAAGTCCCTAAACTCTAGGCTCCCATAACCCACTCGCAGAGGATGGCTTAAGAGCAGTAATTATGGAGCAGTCCATGATAGTCTATGTGAGAACCGGCCTTTTGACCGGGGAGTGGAGGGGTGGTACATAGATGGTCTGGGACGGGGCTGGAACGGGTATGAAACGGGGTCTGGAACGACACCTGACTCCAGCACAGCATAGCACAGCACTACCACCGCAGCACATCTTTGTCAAAATTGGCAGTTTTGAGCGAGAGGTATAAAAGCAATTCTTAGACTGCCAGCTGGCAGCAGCCAAGCGCATCGCTACCATCAAACAGCACAGCTGTGCCACAGCCGGCAGCAACTGTGAGTGGTGCAGGCACCGACCTGCCACAGGTTGAGAGGGAGGGAGGGTCACAAGCAATCCATTCTTACCTACCAACGCACAGCAAAGTAGGTAGCAGCTCCAAGTGCAGCACAGACTTGCCAACACAATCACAGGGCTGGGGCATAGTAAACGCATTCTTGCATGTATGCGCTGATGTATGTATGTGCGCTCATGCATGTGCATTCACATGTTGAATCAGATTCCACGTGTTCAAATATATATATAAATATTATTATATATGTAGACGTGTAGTGTATGTATATGTATATATATATTTATTTATTTATGTGTGTGAACACATATATACGTGCGTATATATTTATATATATATATGTATACATATATATATATGTATCATAACGTCTAGATAGGAGATATGGAACAGAGGTATGCAACATTATGGGACAGATCCTTCAAACAGATATGGAAATTCCGGACTTTATAGTTTGACTTGCACCCATTTGCGGAACTTTCCTGAATTATTCCGATATCCAAGGCACGAATTTCCTTCACATTTCCGCCCTTGTCGGGGTGTGATTCTTTTGCTCTTTTGCGATAGGCCTTCTCCTCAGTATGGGACCCTGCAGGAAGGTTATCCAGTCATCCTGCAGATCATGCTTCCCACCAAGATGCTTGCCGAGGTGGGCGAACTCGAAGTCGTACTGTTGACGAGTACCTGCATTCACGAGAGTGTCCTTCGCCTCCAAAACCGCGCCTTAGCTAGAGAAGCATGTCCATGTATGAATTGCCATATGGCTGTGAATCAAAATTGTGTATGGAATGTTCCGTGGTGTTCCAGACGTATGGAACGTGATGACATGTAGGCTGTACATAAGTTTAAAAGAAATAAGTAAATAAACAAATATATATATATAATAACAAAAAACAATAATAATAAGAATAATAATAACAATATATATATATACTAATATTTTTTTTTAAAAAATGTATATAGTAATAAATATATATATATAAATAAATAAAATATAAAATATATTATAATATATTGTAATATATCAAATTATATTATATTATGTTATTATATATTATATTATATTATATTATATTTTATACATTATATTATATTATATTATATTTTATATATATGGGAACATATATAATCAACTATATCCAGTGCGTGTGTGTGTGTGATCTGTGTGTGTCTGCAAAAAAAACAAAATGGACAATTAGAAACAATGAAAATGTTTCCATTTCCTAAGTACTGACCTACTCCTAACATGATAACTAGGTCCAAAACCAAACCAGGATTTCGTTCTTGAGATATCTAATATTAAAGGGAAGGGTTTACTGTAACGGTTCTCATCCTAAGAAACAAAATTGGAAATAAACATATGGGCAACTTCTAAACCCAAGTGGTTAAGGACTGATTTCCAACACGATCAATCATGTTGGATGAATACCATTACCATCTGGAGACATATCCAAATTGATTAACTACGATCAAGGCATGTCGTTGGTAATACCATCATATATCCCATTGACATCCTCATGTTTTTTTTAACGTTTTTGTTGTTATTTTCTATTGTATCTTTTCGACGATCCACTTTTTGCTGGCCAATTCACTTTGTTTCCATGTTTTTCTCATATTAGTTGCGATCTTTACATGCGAGATCACAAAAGAATGACAAACTGACAAACCCATTTTTTTTGCATTTGGTTTATCCCCATTGTGTTTACATTAACCACGGTTGATGCATTCACGATTAAATTCACAATTGAACTAAATCCAAACACATGCATTTCAATCAAATGAAAATTCCCATTCCTGAGAATCGAATCAAACATTCTGGTGAAATTCCGAAATTGTTTTTGGACAATACATCACCCTAGCCTTTTTTCTGTCTGATGCTTAGTAGGGAATGGGGGAATGGCCCATCCAAACCATTAACACTCATCCAATTCCCTCATTCCCTACTAAGCACAAGTAAATTTATAATTACATGGTTAATGTAATCCCATTAGACATCATTAAACTATCAGTTATTCAACTTACACGTTGTTTTGGAACACTCCAGATCACCCCAGTCGTTTTTGTTCCCCCGGTGGTACCTGGTCTTGTGACAACAAATGTTCGAACATCGCGATGCGCAACTCGGTGTTTTGCCGCTCGCGCATGGCCTGGCGCTAGGAAGAGATTCAGCGGTTGAACCGAGCACAGCCGCCATAGGTGTCACCGGCCCAGGCCAAATAATGATATCATGACGGGACTTGGAACCAGTGAAAAATGGAGGTTTCCATAAATGGGGGTATTCCAAAGTAGGATGGTTTATATTGGAAAACCCAACTAAAATGGATGATTTGGGGGTACCCCTATTTTAGGAAACCCTCAAATGGCGATTCAATGCAAATAAAGAACACATGACATATTGGACAACTCAAGGATTTTAGTCTTTTACCATCAAGAATTGGGAGGTAATGGGGTCTAATGGGACTTTAAGAGAACAATAATACAATGTGGGGTTCCCAATCGATAGATTTCGGTTTCTTGGAATAACTCCGACATCTGTTGGAATTCGACTTTTTAGTGGGGAGTGGCACTTTGTTTGCATAAAATAATCATTATATATATATCATTAGTTAAATATGATTATTATTCTCTATTTATGGGTTGGTTTTCTAAATGTTTGGTTCCAATATCCAGAGGTATATACTCGTGGAAAGTTCATATACCCCAACAACTCGAAACACCTTGGTTTGGCGGGTCCACATGCCTTCTTGGCTGTTACTTGGAACACTAGGGGATGGAAAAGGAATGAAGGGTTGGTATAGGTGGGTGATTATCAAACGCGTCAGAAAACAACAGCAGCATCAGCATCAGCAACAACAACCACAACCACAACCACAACCACCACAACCACCACAACAACCACAAACACAAACACAAACACACACAAACACAAACACAACACACACAAAAACAAACGCACACAAACACAAACACACGCACACACACAAACACACACACAAACACAACAAACACAAGAAACAAAACAAACACAACAAACACAACAAACACACCAAACACAACAAACACGACAAACACACCAAACACAACAAACACAACAAACACAAACACAACAAACACAACAAACACAACAAACACAACAAAGACAACCAGCACAACCAGCACAACCAGCACAACCAGCACAGCCCATAATAATTAATAATTACAGGATATTATTGTTATAGGGGTAACTGTGAAATTCAAACCTCTAAATTCAAAGGCTGGAAGTGAAAGCAGGGCTCGACAAGATTATTTTACGATTGTACTGGATGTGACCCTTTTGGGGTCTCATGTTAATCATTCAGTGGGATAATGTTTCCATATGTTTCCGATGGATCCATGGTGAATTGGATGCTGTTTGGGATGTCAAGGGTCATGAAAGGGGCAACACAAATCCGTAGGGTTTGGATGCGTGGTAAGCAAATCTACTTATATACAGCTCTCCAAAACACATACCATCTAGTTATTTAACATAGCCATGGAAAATCACAATGTTTAATAGGTAAACCATCTATAATTGGGTCATTTTCCATGTTGAATATAACCAAAGGGTACAAGTAAATCTATATACTGCATGCTGTAACTGAATGGTTCGATACTCAGTGTGGGAATGGTGAGAAAAACTTGTTCCCTCTAGGCCAAATCAAAATTGCTGTTGCATAGCTGGATGTTCATCCCCTCACATACGGTATTGTAGATTTCAACCCCATGAAATGGGACAAATGTTTGATTTCATGGTGATTTTTTAGATACCTGCATGTTTTTGGTTGGTGTATATGCTACCCTTTAAAAGTCGAGATCTAAAGTATCCATCCAATCGGTTTCCAATCAGCATGCTACCCGCAAGAAAAAGGAAACTCCAAGGCTGGTTTTGCGGCTGAGCCATGTTGAGCTCATCACTTTGGATCACAATGAAACAATCAATCTGGTGTCGTGACGTGCCCAGAGCACACGCACTAATTGTGTCTAGGAGAAGGCCACAGCAATCTTTAGTTTTTGCAGAACGGCTTTGGGACGCAATTGGATCTGTCAATTCCGAATATTTTCATGTTGCATGGTCTTCAACTGAACATTGAATGGTTTCAGGACCAAGTTCGATTTTGGTTCTTCAACAGACATAAACCAGAGCTTCCGAAACTAACTTTTGGATTCAAGAATTTGATGCATCTTTTCGGTTTGACATGAGTATAGTGAAAGAATGATCATTTTGAGCAGGTCATGAACCGTTCGACATGCAGCATGCGTATCTGCCACAGATGTGTGAAACCTTTAGTTATCTAACAGCAACAAACTTAGCAGTGTGTAGCAAGAAGTGTGCTTGCAAGTGCATGAGGGCATCCCAGAGCGTAGCATGAAGTGTGCCTGCAAGTGCAAGAGAAGATCCCGGAGCTAAGCATGACGTGTGTGTGTGTGAAACTGTGCCAGAGAAGATCCCAGAGTGTAGCATGAACTTAAATATATGAGTTCCATGATAGGTCCAAACCCGTTGTTTTCTATGCGTTTCTCAGGTCAGTATTCGCACCCGCAGGTGAGCTACGTTCAAGGAAGGAAAGAGAATCACACCTGCCGAAGCCCCTGACCTGCCTGCGCCTGGCTCACCATTGCGGAACTTTGGTTTGAAGTCATAAGGGTCTGGTTTCGCCCTCTGTAGCTTTACAATGTGCCCGCTCGCTCTTGCGATGACCCACTGCAATGCGTTGCAAGCAGAAAGTTGGGCCGCCCACCATTTCCGATCTTCCTGCCATTTCCCAACGGCAATAGCTGCGACATTTTTGAACAAAACCAAGGTCTTGTAGAAGGCGCTGGCATGTTGAAATTGACATGAACGCTACCCGAACCCATCCCCACCCGCATAACAAAAACGCATAGTATATTGCTGGTTTCTACATATGTGCATGGTTTTAGGGACGTAATTCATGCAGGCTATGTGATACATCCATTCAATCAACAAGACCAAAAAGACAAGTATAGAACAAAAAACAAGCACCTGGCTCTGGATGTGCTTTGTGGCATGTCTACTTCAGAACCTTATAGGAGCCACAACTGGGTTCGTCGTGCTTGGTAGTTGCGATTTGAATTCTCGCTGGGCTCATTCTGGGTGATTTTATTGGTTAATTACTTAGGATGGTAGGTTGGGCATTGATCCGCAAGATATGCTCTCAGAAACTGGTCACAAAAAGACAATCATATAATATCAATATGACCTGCAGTGGTCAAGGTGCCGAATGTACTTGCACTTGACCGAAAAACAATGGGCCTAAAAATGACATTGGGACGCATGTCTATACAATATATGTAAAATAATTATATGTGCATATTTGTATTCATTTTCTATTTTTGCATCGGATGAATTATCCCAGTGGTTGATTCAAAGAATGTCACAAAAACATATCTACAGCAACCCCCAAAAAGATGCCGAAAAGTGTGCCACCAGGATGGCAGTTCGATGAATTTATCCACATATTTTCATATATTTCCAGCTTTCTCACTTTTCTGCATCTATGACTGGGGGTTGCTATGTCCATTTGTTCTACTTCCGTTGCCAACTTTAACCAATCAACCATGGCAATGTTTAACCATTTAGTAGTGACTACTAACCATTTAAAATTCAAACAGTTACCAACCACTATTAAACCATTATTAAACCATGACTGACCACTATTAACCACCAATATTCCGTTTCAACATCAAAGGCATTGAAACCCGGCGCGCCTTCTTGATGCCATCGCCCAGCACCTTGCAGTCTTTCTAGCCGCTTCTAGCCCATGGATATGGACGCCGGGGAGTAAATACATGATGCTGGTAAAAAAAAACTGTATATGCAATAGGAATCAAAAATAATACACACACATATATATATATGTCCTATATTAATAAAACATAGTAATCTAGTTATACCAAACAAAAACACACACACATATATATATATATATGTGTAAATACATACATAGAGTCAATTATATTTAGATAATTTATGTGTCATCATGAACATATATGATATGTCACTGTGGTTATGCAAGGCTAATTGTGTATATATATATAGTTTGGATATTGCTGCTGCAATAATTGGCGATGCTGCAAATGCAAATGTGGCATCATCTGTTTATCATCTAGTCGGTTGTGTCCCATGATATTCCTGTAGATACCACTAAATCACCCTTGTTCCCACTAAAATCCCCAGTTGTAGCATTCTTTCTGGAAATCCCATTTTTTGGGTGGACAAAGAAAAGCAAATCCCATGAACCCCATTAAGATCATCATTGTTTCTACTTAAATCACCTTTTTCATGGGAACACCACCATGTTCTCCCGGGCCCCAGCATCACACCGAGACACTCGCGCGAGGCCCTGTACAAGGGCAGCCAACATGAGCCCCAGAATCACGGAGCGCGCCTAAGGGGGGTGCAACTGGTGGCTTAACTCATGGGGAATATATGGGAAATTCGAAGTGTCAACATGTTTACACTAATGGTGGCTTACTCTAGTGGGTTTGACAAATGGTGGAACACCTGTGATATAATGGGATATGTTCATTGGATTATAGCAAATCCTATGGATTTGACCATCAACCTTTGGGATTTCGGCTATGAATCTGGGGTGAAACCTGTTTGGGATTTGGCTAGGGAAAAAATAAATGGATATTTATGTATTTATGGTATATAGATAATATAGATAGTCATTGCCTTGGATTGGATATGATATAACTCAGAAGACAAACATTGACAACATGAGGATATCGTGTGAATTTCATCTACAAAATGGTGGTAACGAACATATACCGGGATATGATGGATCTACAATGACACTTAGTGGTGAACATGTTAACTATCAATGTTGTGGGAGCTTAACTAGCAAATGCAGGCACATTTCATGAGATATATTTCCAACGATATGGACACCATTTGGGGTGGATCAAATATTACCACATTTGGGGGGATGAACATCTATTTACCCTCTTGTAGTTCAACATAGCGATTGAACATGGCCATTTATAACTGAATTACCCAGAAAAATGGTGATTTTCCAAAGCAAACTGCTAGTTTACGAGAGGGTACTGTTCTTTTGGCGCTCACCAAGGTACCAAGACTTTGACTCGTACCCGTGTCTGCGCCAACAAAAGATATTGAAAGGAAAAACACATTGACACAACCTTGTGTAACATGTTTTAAACATATAAAAACACATCCAAAGGCAAGACTTGGATTAGATACATGAAATTAGTAGTGTACCAGAAAGGTGCAACAGGTCCCCTTTTGGAAGAAAATTAACCCACACATTCCTCTTGCTGCATTATCTCTTTTCACCGACCAGAAGATGGTTGCGGATGGTTTTGGCACAAAATCCCTTGCAACCATCATCTATGGTGACGTTGGCCAGGTTGTTGTACTTCGCCCGAATCATTTCTATGATATGTCTTTTTGTCAAAATCGCACTTGTTACTGTTACTAACCCCATCTAACCCCCATTTCGATTGACCAAATCACCATCTCAGCTGGTTAAATTCCGATTTCGCTGCTTAAGTAGCATTTTGTCCCACATTCTCCATGTGTTCCCGTGAGTTTGAGCCCACCCGGGTAACCTCCCCAGGTCTCGTTCACATCTCGAGTGGCTAAAGGCAAACGGCCGCTACATCCGAAGGTCCAAGAGCACAAGAAATGCCTAGGCCGCGTCTTGGGGATGAACATATTCGGGTAAAGGGGCTTTAATCACGAATGCAGGTTCCACGACATAGAAATATAATAGCAATATATATATAATTATATAATAGGCATTATATATATATTATATATAACAAAACATATAGAAACCAATTATTTTGCTTCTGATACGCTATGAAATCCCAAAAGTGTCATTATATATATAATGTTGAATAATAAGTAAATAAATAAATAAAAAATAAATAAATAAATAAATAAATAATATATATATATACATATAAGTTAAAAGAGAATATTGGCAGTATTGCGGCAGAATGGCAAAACCGTCCATTCAACTACGTTTATTGAGTTTTTTTTGTTTTTTTTTAAGGGGTCCTTAACGAATATTTCGAAGATGTCATGTTCCTTGGGGGATGGTGGATGTCCAAGGTCCATCTTGATTGAGATGAACCCGAGTACTGGTGCGTTTTGCGTAGGGCATGGGTGGGTTGCTGGGGGTTGCTGGGATGATTATTATTAGTGATGAAATGGATCATTCCCGCAAATTCCCTGCGTAAAACGCACCGGTAAGAGATGGTAAGTCCAAAAAAAGCATTAGTCATGAACCACAATGCGCCTCGGCCTGTCGCTTCTGCTTCGTCGGCGCTGCGTCTCACATGGACAACGTTCTTCGAGTTTGGCATGGTTTTGAAACGGTTGTGCATCCTACAAGCTTCCAAGAGCAGAGCTCAGGTCAAGGCATATGGCCATTGTCAGGCCCGCCAATGCGGGCTCTTGCTCACTCATCTTCTCTACTCCCATGGGGATGTTGGAAGCCAAGAGCCCTGCCCACTGGGGCACCTCCCTTGATGTCTCGCAGGGAAACAACATCTAGCACTGGCACTGCAATGCTCTTTGTCGCTCATTGTTGGTTGAGATGCGCTTACAAACCAAATTCTACCTCGGGGGGTGCACTGTATACTACATTGAACATTTCGGTATTAGGTATTAGTTCAAATTTATGAGAATTTCCTTGAAGGGTATATATACACCCTACTCCTTAACAAAATCAGTTGGCAGTGGATCAAACACATGCAAACCCCAGAATCACATGATTTTGACCACGTGCAGGCAGCGAAGGCATGCAACCAGATTTGCAAATATTTAAGTCAACAAACTGTTGTTATGTATTCTTTGCAGAAGGGTGAATGAACATGGCGGGCAAATGGGCATTCCAATTTGCATCCTGGGTATGGTTCAGAAAGGAGAATCGGCAAAAAACAACGACAACTTGGCTGGGAAACTCATTTCTTTTTAAAATCGAAAATCCTAATAATTCAGCAAAAACAACCAAAGGCCTTAGGTATCTCGAGATATCCATTGCTTCATCATGCATGTGACTGCATGTATGACACACACACATGGGGCTGTGGAAAGCATGTCGCAGACACAAAACAACCCATGAAACAAATGTGTTTTAATTACATAGTTGTTCAAACTCTTTTCATGGGTTTGTTGTAGTTTCACGTTTGTTTGAGGTAAATCCTCCCAACATATTTTGAAATTGTGATGGGCATAGTATATTTGGGGTGAAATGTTGATCGGACCAAAACAACGAATCAATTTGACAATATGTGGGTGCGAAACAACGCCCATTTTATAGATACCAACCACAAAAAACTTACAAGGTCAGGGTATGCTGAAAGCGATCGCAACGACATATCCAGATTGCATGGATGGTAGTGCCGGTAGTCGTGCCCCGAAGCTTTTAGGTAAAACAAAATCAACCTTAAAAGAAAACAATGTTGAATTATAAACATATAAACACAGAGTTCTGGATGCTCACAAACAGATGTAATTATCAAAAACCCAAGTCATTATCGTTGGCTGTTTTTCGCAAACCTTTTTTGGCAACTCCCACGTGGGTTTCAATTTGCAGGCGTGTCCCTTCGCCCACTACTTGTTTTGCCCAGACACAAAAAATGTGATTCGCGTTCAACCTGGCAAAGTGGGGTTCTGCATTCAGGTTTCTGTCAAACGCTACGTGCTGACCAGTTGAATACCTCAGTTCAAACCTATTTCGCGTTTGCCCTCCGAATTGCGGGTCCTAAAAGCAAAGTATATGGGCCATCTGCAGTCTAAAACAATGTATCTACTTGAATTCCCCCGTTGGCTGGAACCAAACCAGACTTGACTACCCGCAGACTTGACTACCCGCGATCTCAAAATACTTGCCAAATACACAAACGGGATGCTTAATGCCGAGGACTACCCTGGTCGATGTTGATCAGGGTCTGCTACAAACACCGCCCACAAAGGGACCTGCATAACCTGTCCCGACAATCTTTTATTGATTAGGCTTTCGACCATCACACTTGGAACTAGCATGGAAAGCGCCTCTTTGCCCCTGAGCCCCCAACCATTCGAAACACCAAAATCCCAGTCAACTACGCCACCGCTTTCCCGCGCAGAACCGAGCCTCGTGCTGGTCCCCGTTCACCAAATTGAAAACTGCCCCTGTCAAGACCTCACGATTCACGGGTGCGAACATGCTCTGTGAGCAGTTTCAAGCACCTGTTTGCCTTTCCTGTTGACTCGTATATACATTTCTTTCGCAGCTATTTTTGCGCGTCTTTCGCGGCCTCCGTTTTGGTTTGCAGCGACTGGTTTCGCTAAGGTGCTGCTTTGCCTTCCGCAGCTACTTTGATTTACTTTGGTGGCTATACTTTGCGATTCTGAGCGCGTAGCAGAATTACAATGATTTGCAAATTAAAAGTCCTTTCATGAAGGATTTTGAAGCTGCTCATACTTGGATCTTCACTTAGCACTTTTTTCTGCTCATAGCAGTTTTCGCTTGAATTTACGCTCTTTTTGACTTTTTATGCTCACTTGAACTAGAAAACGCGCATTTGTTTCTTGACGGACAGGTATTTGCGCTTTTTTCCCAGGTATTTACGCTTATTTCCCGGTAAAATACGCTCATAATTTTGGCTTCAAAATGCACAATGTGCAAAGATGCCAAAAGTGGTGCAATTACGCTCATGTGGCGAAAAAGAGCTCAGAAAGCAGAAATCTTTCAAATGAGCATTTATTTGTGCTTTTTCGAGGATACAGGTATGGGCAAGCGCGCTGTGTCATTGACGAAGCCGTAGACCGCCTTTTTTAACAAATGTGATGTGGTGGGTCACCTGAACACTGCCTGGCCCACAATGTGCATGAGCAACATGAATGCACAGTGTACGAACAACGCCAAAATGTTGCGTGAAGGTTGACCCAGTGCAGTGGGCAAAACGCATAGATAATCACCAGAACATTGATTCAGACAGGAATACCACCACGGAGAATGAGGATGTCAACTAATTATATATCGTACATACATGAAACAGAAGAGCATCGCCAAACGGGCAATGAATCAAACCATGCTTCTCTGTCCCGTCCTACAAAGTCGGTCAGATATTATATTAGGTCAGTATTAGGTCAGTAGTTATATCCCAAACTCTGGAGCCTGTAAGCATTGCTCCGCCATGGTTCCCGCTGTAGACGTAACCCCAAATGCAATGCCCAAACAGTTTGGAATTAAAAGCCAAGCAGACTCCGCAGGAAAAAAAATGGACCACTGTGGACTATGGGGTCAGTGGGAAGGTACAACAAATAGTCTTCTGTAATCTGTGAACTTTGGATGGATAAACATGGATAAATCTATGGATCCTGAAAATAAATAAAAACAAATTCTCACTAAAACGGTAATGCATTGCCTTTTCTATCCTTTTTCTCCTTTTAGGGGTTGCCATAAATATATTCATACCCTTCCTATGCAGCCCATCGGAACTTTGAATTGGTCTTGGATCCCAGTATCCACGACTGAGGTTTTCAGCAATTGGGTGCATTGAATGTGAACAGGGGATGGGTTGCTGTTTGGAAGAGATTCTGCTATCTGGAACCCCCGCAATATAGCAAAATCCGGAAACAGGGTTTCCAGAACTAAACATATCAAAAACGATATCCAGATCTTCAGTATAGTACAATAGACATATACCCAAACAAAAATCGTCACAAAATTCAGGCTGTTGGATGCGCATAGCTCCATTGGATTGCACGAAAATTTGTGGTTGAACCACCCATAAATTGGGATAGAACCCCCTACAGCTATGGTTATATATATATACCCTCTGGTTATTTAACATAGCCATGGAACAGCCCACTTATAGATGATTTTCCCATTAAAACCTCCATTTATAAGGGATTTTCCATGGCTATGTTAAATAACCAGAGGGTAAATAATATCTCAAGTTAAGCCCCAAATGAACTTGGTACCTTTCTGTTCATCCCAAAAGTTAGTTTAGGTTTGATGTTCAGCCTTGCCCAGCTAAACTGGTGACCAGTGGTGAGTAGCTGATGTGAATATCTGATGTACGCGACAAACCATCCCCAATAGTAGTGGTTTACCCTCTGGTAAACTAACATAATAACTATTGAACATCACCACTTTTAATTGGTAAATCAACGATAACTGGGCAATTTCCCACAGCTATGTTAGTCATTACCAGAGGGTATCACATTGTGCTACCCCTGAAACGATCATATCTTTGGTGAAACCTGCATTATTTTTCTGTTGGGGATAAGTAAATTACGCCACTGTTGTTTGTATATGCCTGTATATCTCACTACAGTCCTCTATATCTACATTCTATCCCATAAAATATCCCATGCTTTGTTGAGCATTTGGGATGTTTCTTTGAAGGTTCACTGAAACAGCCTGTGGCAGCCGTTTGATCATGGATGTCCCTCTTCTGTTGTGGGTTGACAACAAGTCATGATGTCAATAGCTCCTCTCAAAGTTGAGTGCAACAAAGCGAACTGATTGTATGCGATATATCTATCTGCACATACACATCTACGTGGGGAGAATCACCGCAATGTGATAAACACCTACCATTCGATGTTTCTTAGCACCTGGTATAATTATATTGGGGATAGTTGATGATTGTGTTTGAGCCACATATCTATGGGATGATTGGTTAAAGGTCGGCAAAACTTGAAAAACAAAAAGTATTTTTGGCGATTGCTGACACTTACTTTAGGATGCAGCTTCTTTGAAGTATTACCAACGGGGTGTCCACAAAAAAAACAACTTAATCCTTATACGGTTCTTTCTTCCCTTATAGGTTCGGAAATGTGCTTCTCAATTCGGATACGTTTTTTTTTTCTTCTGTTTTGTATGTCTGAGTATGGAAACTGAACATGTGCCAACATATATCTGCTTGATGGTTTCAACCCTTCTGAAAATATGGAGTCAGTTGGGATTCTTATTCCCAATATATGGAAAAAATAAGTTAATGTTCCAAACCACCAACCAGTAACCATCATTAATAACCATCATTAATAGCCATCATGAACCATTTCCTATGGTTTTCCTATGGTTTTCCTATGGTTCTCCAATGGTTTTCCTATGTATATTGGGCTTGTGATTAAACCCATTGAACCACCACCCAGCTTGCAACTGGCTTTCCTAATGTTTTACATACTAGTTTTCTTCGGGCCTAAATGTGTGTAAACATGTGTATAGACATATATATATATATATATACGTATTTGTGCATATATGTAGGTGTATGTATATATATATTATGCACATATATATATATACACATTGTGTATATATATATATACGTCATATGTATATTATGTTAATATATATATATATACTCATTGTGTATACATATATATATAATGTATATATATATTATGTATATATATATATTATGTATATATATATTATGTATATATATATTCTGTGTATATATATATATATTATGTATATGTATATATATATTATGTATATATATATTATGTATATATATATTCTGTGTATATATATATATTATGTATATGTATATATATTATGTGTATATGTATATTATGTATAATATGTAAATATAATGTGCATATATATATGACTTATATGTATAAATACTTGTACATATATAAAATATGGAATAATCCCAAATAAATTTTATAGGCAATGTTAAACATCGGGTACCTACGAGATGAAGGCCAGTACTAAACATGACAAGTCCATCTGCAGTCCCCTGAGGCTTAAACTATTACACAGTTGCCAAGCGAGCAGCGTTCAAAATCATCTGCCATTCACAAATAGAGATATTGACAAATAGAAATCCTAACTCCATGGATTATGATAGTCCCGAATATACCGGATAGTAAAATGATAGTAAAATGACCTACCCTCTGGTAATTTAACATAGCTATTGAAAATGGCCCATGTATAGTTGATTTACCTATTAAAAATGGTGATTTTCCATAGTTGCTTGTACGTTTACCAGAGGGTAAAACCATCAGGAGGTGAACAAAATGGTTGTATCCCAACAAACTAGGCTAATAGAAAAAACGAATTGAACACCAATCTTACATCACTTATCAACTCATTACATCTAGTTTTGTGGTAGACATATAATAGCTATTATATGAGGTTTCAACCACCAAAACCATCAATTTTACTAGAGGTTTCAAGCCATTTTCAGTCTTACTAATTCTTTGTGGTTAAACGTTCGAAACATTTAACTGTGATGCTAAAATCCCACATGTCTGTTGCTTAAACCCTGCAAATAATGAGTCAATTGAGCGGTGTTGAATCTCCACAGTGAATCTTAGATACCTGCCAAAACATCTTTCATGTTTATCTGGTTAGGACAAATTTTACCATTGCTAAAGATTATAAAGGACTAAAGTATCTCACAAAGGTTGACCCAGTATTTATGCATCCATTCAAATCCATTAAACAAGTCCATGGACATCCATTAACATCCATGAAAATCCGTGAAAACCCCTATGAATTACCCCACCGGGCTGACCAATGGGAGCTAAGAAGCAGGTTGCCACGCATCGCAGGCTGACCTTAGGAGCTGAGAATGCTACCGCCTGGTATCCGAATGGTACTCCCAAATGGATGGTTTTGGGCTACCCCTCCATATGACACTAATATATAATCTGGTTGGTGGTATACCTACTCCTCTGAAAAACATGAAAGTCAGTTGGGATCATTATTCCCAATATATACTGTAGAAAAATAAAAATCCTGTTCCAAATCACCAACCAGTCATAATAGGGTAGACTGACCCATCCCCACATTTTTGTTGGTAAAAAATAGACCTGTTCATTCATCAGGGGTTTAAGGGAAACTAGGCATCAGTTCTAGAGGTGTTGGCCATAAAACAGGGATATTGACATTGATACAATCCAGAAATCACCAGAAATTCTGGTCGTCTACGACAACAAGTTTTATGGGTGATGTTCGAAAAAAAAATGATCAGACCATAGGACCATAATATCATATAATATCTAATGTATATAGGAACATATAATTACCATAGTAAGAAACCAGATCAGACCATTAGGAAACAATGAGGATCATGGGTATGATCATCGAGTGGACAACCACAAACGGCACTTCGCATAGTAACAGGATGCATAAGAAACATGATGTATAGATGTTCAATGGATGAATGATACAGTAAAATATGATATGATATGATATGATATAGTATGATATAGTATGATATAATATGATAAGATATAATATGATATAATAAGAAGTCGATCAACATCATGAATACTGGGAATATGTTGGATATGATGTATAATTTTGATGTAATATTATTCATGTCAATTATTACCCTCTGGTAAACATACAAAAAACTATGGAAAATCACCATTTATTATGGGTAAATCCACTATTTCTATGGCCATTTTCAATAGCCATGTTAGTTTACCAGAGGGTATATGAATCTAGATATTCACCTCGAACATCTGCCTCAATTCGTGCAATTCGGAAAACTGAGATATCCCGTGGCATCCGATTTCTGGGCTAACCTCACCGCACCACTATGCATAGGCCAACCTTGGAGATCTTGGAGCGAGTTTCATGGCGACCAGAACTGGGGTACCTTTTTTGGACCGGACATTGCTCATTTTTAGGATCTTACCATCAGAAAACGGGTCAAATCGGGTCTTGCTCATTTTAAAGCATAGCCACTTTGGAATCACATATCACAATATTATGATGATTGCCCCCCAAACAGCACTGGTTGGTGGTTTCAACCCCTCTGAAAAATATTAGTCAGTTGGGATTATTATTCCCAAATTGGATGGAAAAAAATCATCCAAATGTTCCAAACCACCAACCAGAGCAATACGCTTTACGCAAGTGCACCCTAGTTGGGGTAGGGCTAAGCCATGGTTGGCTTGTCATGGAAGATCATCCCAAGCCATCGCCGAACAGATCGGATTTTTGCCATCTTGGGCCCTCCTAAAAGGCCAGGAGCTGATACTTCGATTTGCTGATTCCCTATAGATTCCCCAAGTGGATCCAAATGGTGGATTTTCCATGGGAAGAATAAACATGACCTTAAACAAAGCTAGGAAGATCATGATGATATCAACTAACCATTCATATTCCGCGACAAAGATGGGGATACGAACCGGTTTCACCTCACAAACTCAGATCTTTGCAAAACAACGGATACATCATCATGTCGGGAATAGAAAACATTCAATGTTCAGACCCTACAAGGAGTTTACCCTCTGGTAAACTAACAGTTCGCTATTGAAAATGGCCCAGTCGAAATAGTGGATTTACCCATTAATAGCATGGTGATTTTCCATAGTTATGTTAGTTTGCCATTTATAGTGGATTTACCCATTAAAAATGGTGATTTTCCATAATTTTTTGTATGCTTACCAGAGGGTATTGGTAATGAAACCCAACTACCACGTTGATCCTCCCAGCTCCAGTATGTCGCTGCATTTTTTGTCAGCATCCCAGGCGCAGCGGCGAATTGCATGGCTCAGCACAGCGAATTCCACACATCAAGACCCACGGCAGGGCGTTGAACCAACATACAAAGACCATTCAATTTACACATCATTACCAATATCAAGTACAGATAATAAAAACAAATCACTTGGAACCCAAGGATTACAACCAACAAAAGCATGTCTGGAAGATGATTTTCCCAGCCTGGGAAGGGGAACATCCTAATGCCTCCTAATGGCTCCTCATTTAGAAACATGGATACCCCCTGGCTCCTTAGCTTAACCACTGGACAGTTGTAATATGTCACCAAACTTTGGTTACTTTACGTATTTTCAGGGTAGGGATACCTTGCAAAGTCAAGCTGCAAGCAAGACTTGCCTTGGAACCGCGGGACTGTTTATGACTTTTTAGCATTGAAACCCATGGTTCTGGGATTTCAAAAAACAAAAAACATACCCTCTGGTAAATTAACATAGCTATGGAAAATCACCATTTTTAATGGGAAAATCCACTATTAATGGCCATTTTCAATAGCTACGTTAAATTACCAGAGGGTATATCCCAGCTTCATTAGAGGTTCCTTGGAATGGGAAAATGTCAAGCCCTCAATAATAGGGGAGATGACCAACCTCTCGGGTGTGTTTATCCAGAAACAATGTGCCCTGCCTCAAGTGGTGATTCAAGCTATAGTTAGGTGGGTGAACATAAACCAGCTTAGTTCACTTTTCAAGGTTTCACACCATTCAACAGATATTCGGATATTCGTCAATTGGATTGATCGTCCACTTTCAACGGATGGAGTCTTGCAAAAATAAAACTATCTACACCAAACAATAGACTTCACTACCTCTCGATACTTTGGTCTCCGAAGCAAATGGCTTCGAACGTGATAATATCCCACTGCTAAGTGGTTCTCACAGTTAGGGTCATTTATTAGTTATAACTGGTTATAAGCGAGATCATACATTCCATAAATGGGGTTTTGTTAGTACTTATAACTGGTATTCCGGGACATGGGCCACATGTCCAACGCCCATCAGGTCAGGGATGGCTTTTTGTCCCTGAAAGAAACGTCCTGGCCCTGGTGGATTAGTAGTTTGAACTAGGGATAGCACCAAGTGATAATGTTCATATCTGGGGTTTCCATATATGGGATTGCCCCAAAAAGGATGGTATATAATGGAAAATCCCAAAATAAAATGGATGAGAACTGGGGGTACCCTTATTTTAGGAAACCCTCATATGTTCATATTGAGTTATCATGAATCCACACCTACACAAATCACTTACCTGTTGAATGACTGTGATAATTCGAAACACACCTGAGAACAATGACTGCCCGCATTGCAAGTAGGGTCTGATGCGGCGATGTTTTGATTAACCACCCAAGCCACATTGCAAGTGAGCACCTTGTGATCATTACATCATTGTTTTGGTTGTTTTGCTTGATCTTCCCAGCGGGAAAAAAACAAAAAAAAGTGATGGAACTGGAACTACCCAAGTCATGGGACATTTGCCAACCCTGAGGTTGATTCAACTAATTTCGAAAGCACATGGCATTTCGATGCCTCGAATAACATCAAGGCCTGCTGCAAACGACCTCCCCGTTCACAGGAGCTGATCGCCAGAAAGTACGTGATGATATCCTCAGGGACCCAGTTTAGCCAGGCAGGGCCTTTCATCAATGTGGATTTGTCCAACGAGAAGGGGATTAATTTTTAATAGACGACAACTTAAATGGGTAAAATATAGAATCTGGTTGGTGGTTGAGCCCTACCGCTCTGAAAAAAATGATGGAGTTCGTCAGTTAAATTCCCAACTGGATGGAAAAATCATCCAGCCATGTTCCAAACCACCAACCAGGAATACATTAGCCGTTAGAATTGGTGGTAACTTTGAAAAAAAAGGTGTCCCACGACGGAAAAAAAATGTGAATTCGCAGGTCTATTGTCCCAACATTGGTGCCACCCCAGTTTCTGGTCCCAACTGTGTGGAAATTCCCAACAAAAAAACATGGTTTCGCAACGAACGAGGGTTTCGTATCATATTTTTGCATCACCAGATTCAAAAATCCAAGTTTGCCTTTTTTGGTATAGTATACACCATTTCTGGAAATACCCATGGTTAATGAACACAACCACCACAGGAAGGAGTTTGCCAGTGATGAGTTCTTTGTTCAATAGATCCACATAAAAAATCAAGTCACCAGCCTAGTTACAAACCAACCGAAATGGATCATCATCAATCAACTATAAAGGTAAACTAACATGGCATCATGACTATGATTTAATAGCAACAATCAACTATAAATGGGCGAGTTTCTATTTCTATGTTAAATTACCAGAGGGTATATTCCATTAAATCCCATTAGATCCCATTAAACCACCATAAATTCCCATGAAACCACCATTCCCATTAGATCCGTTTCTATGTTAAATTCCCAGAGGGTATCGATCCGAGTTTTTGGGTGGGCTTCCCTTCCCTTAGGATCCCAAGTCTCTGGTTGGATGTGGCAGCAATTCATCTCTTCAAACAACTGGAGCGCCTGTGTTTCGCCGTTGGCCACATGTGCCATGGTCAAGTTAGCTGGGATTAGTGGATGTCAATCACTGGTTGGTGGTGCAATCAATAACCATCTTGAAAAATATGATTGGTTAATGATGGTTAATGGTGGTTAATGATGGTTAATGATGGTTAATAATAATCTGGTTGGTGGTGCAATAACCATCTTGGAAACTATTAGTCAATGGGAAGGATGACATCCCATATATGAAATGGAATTCATAAAAGTCATGTTTGAAACCACCAAGCAGTAATGGTTTATGGTCCTCTTATCATAAGCAGGAATTCCTGACTTAACGGATATGTTGAACCCTGACCTTGGATTGATGACAGACACCCTACTATGGGCATATAATCCAACTGTTCACTGTGCCACACATATTTGGCATTGATCTCCAATGTATGGATGTAATCAAACTGATGTGACAGTAATCTTATGTATCCTCCTCCACGCATGGCCAAAATATATATAACCATTGTCCTTGCAAAACCACTTCACCTCAACCTCTGATGTACCAGTGACAACCGATATATCTGGGTAAATTACAATAATTCACAAACCTGAATTAAGGTACTAACCATGATTCCAGGGCTCGGTTGCAGTGAGGTCGTTATAATTTGCCCAGATATATGATTGATATATGTACACAAGGCCAATGTTCAGATTCTGCATTTCTTTTGGCAGGTTAGGTTCATACATCCTTATGAACAGCATTTTTTTCTGGGTGCATCTGATGGGATATACTCCAATAAATCCATGGGGATACTAGTGATGAATCAATGGATTGTGGGTACCCTACTTGGTGGCTCATCCCACGGCTCGTAAGTGGGTTATAACCCCAGTTATAAATGGGATAAGTAGGGTTAATCCACTTATCACTGGGGTTATAACCCACTTACTAAGTGGGATGAGCCACCAAGTACTTTCAGACCTTATAGCCCTGAACACAACCGGGTATTTCTTATATATGTCATTGCTTTTGGCTAACGTCTTTACCAGGGAGATGAAGTGATGATGGCCCCAAGCATCATCTATGGCATCTATGGTGACGGTCCTAATTGATCATCATTTATCGCTATGATTTTCATGTATATAATATATATATATATAATTATATATATATACATATATATACATATATATATAATATACATACATATATTAAATATATATACATATATATGTACCATAGCTACTTCATGCCCTTTTGAATGCCATTTCGATGCACAGAAAGATGCCGTTCTCCGCACGGCCCAGGAATTTCTCCGCGCCTGCGGCCAATGCTTCAGCCGTTGGCAGGAGGTGATCGCACTGTTGAAGCTGATCTGATCTCCTCAGCTCCCCACCTCCCTGGGGCCCAACAAAAAGGGAGTTGATGGTAGGATTTGATGATTTGGGTGTCAAGCATGGTTGATGTGAACATCAAATTTCAGCAACATAGAATACACAGATAGGAATTTAAGGCAACAATAGGGATTGATACAGTAGCTTGGATTGATATGAATTAGGTACGTGGTTTACACCTACTGTGAAAAAATATGTTGAGGGTGAGGTGTTGGTACCCCTAACATACCCCAACCATAGACCATAGGGCAAACACCGTTTAACTCGCAGCGATTTCTCAGCTACTAGGTGTTTGTAATATTTTATAAGTATTTCCTACGGTTGGACAATCTGAGATACCTCAAAGATAGGTAAGCTCACCCAGAACAGCGGGAGTGTGGTTCGACACCAGCTTTGGGGACACACACCGAAAAAGTTGATAGCTATATAGTCATTTGTTGGTAAGGGCCGCTTGCCTACATGTGCCTACCATACTTGAAGGTGATGCTCTGAAACCATAGTAAGGATGCTTGCGCCAAATCCCAGTGCCTTGGGGACAAAGCTGAGCTAACGGCCAAAACTAAGGATGACTGTGCTAGTATTGTTTCTAATACAAAATGACTATCAAAGTATATCAAAGTACTGAATTCCGAAAGAGACGACATAATATTGGCTGTCGATTTGGGCAAAATCCATCAAAATCCTTAGTATTTTGCCGGGGCAACCATGATTGGCAGCGGCCATAGTGTCAACAAAGGCCATTGGCATTACTGGAAATTTTCCGTGCCATTCGGTCTTGAGACTCTGGCGATTCGTATTGTCTCTACTACAGCAGGAAGGGCCCTCCTAGTTTCAGGTCAGTTTATAACCCCCATCTAAACTCATCCACCATAAGTCCAATCGTTGACCTACACTAGCCGACTTAAACTTACCCATCATAATTCGCCATCAATCCCAACATTTGTTGATTACCATCTGGTTATGACTAACAGTTTGCCATGGAGAATCACCATTTTTAATAGGTAAACCATCTATAAATGGGCCATTTTCCATGGCTATGTTAAATTACCAGAGGGTAAGTCCGCCTTTCCAAAAACTCATTTCCTCTCTCGAGTAAGGGTCGTCGCACGGAGGACTGCACCATCAGCGACATCAGATGCAGAGCTTCTTGCCAGCGGCCGGCCTTTTCCTAGGAGTCAGCTTGAAGGGGAGAGACACCACAACAATATCAACATAGATCAACATAATATCATCATAACACTTCCCAACAAAAATCGAAACTAGAAACGTGTTTCCAAGAAGTTATAGATGTTGTTTAATACATATTTCCAGGCTTCCCACTCTTATATCAATTTTGGGGTTGCCATGATATCACGGGCATAAGAACTGATGATGTGATATGTTTATAGATATATAGGACAGTGAATCAACAGCCAGACAAGAGATTATCAACAAATAGTAGAAACACCACTTTTACTAGGTAACTAAACACAACATGTTTGTTGCTTAAAACAATAGAATCATTGTAGTTCTACTCACAAATTTCCCCATGTGTTCTTGCCGAAGTTCCTTCAATCCGCATCTTACTCATGAAAAACATATTAGTTCCTTAGGCAAAACCCATAATAGATCCCTAAACTTCCTCAAGTTCCTTACAATGTGGGGCCCCCGGAATATAAGTTGGTTTATAAACCCCATTAACTATAGCTATACGTATCATAAACTATAGTTATTGAAGTGAGTAGTGCACCAACTTAGCTATCAAAAGTCAGATATACATAAATCATCATCAATCTCATTAAATCCCTTTTGTTCTTGGTTTAGTCACCATTTTCCTATGGTTTTGCTTAGCTATCGTAAACTTAGCCATCATAAATCTCACTAAGTCCATCTTTGTTTTTTGCTTTATAGAAATCACCATTTTCCTTTGGAGTTTCCTTACTTTCGTTTGGGGTCCCCACCAAACCCCTCTATGAATTAGCCAACCAATGGGAAAAGGACATCTATGGACATGGGACATATTATAATTAGTGGAAGATCCCATTTACAATCTTATGATCTTCCATTGGATATTGAATAATCCTATTCATACCTGGGTGGTGGTTTGAACCCCTCTCAAAAATATGAAAGTCAGTTGGGGTTATTATTCCCAATATTTGGAAAAAATCAAAATGTTCCAACCCACCAACCAGAATATATATATATTAATATTGCCAATGGATCTCAATTCTTGGATTCAACATTGTAAGTGTCAACCAAACTCCCCCATGTCATCCTTTGTTTCCTCACCGAGACGCGCATGAACTGATCAACGCGTTGAAACTGAAGTCGTTGGAACACGAAACCGTCAGCTGAGAGAAGAGCTGTAAGGCCTGGTGGCATGCAATGGTCACCCACCACCAACCATGTTAGATGTATGTTATAGTAAACAAAGATATATTAGGTATATATAATAATAATAAAATATTAATAATAATAATAAAATAATAATAGATATATATGTATAAAATATGTAATTATCGTATTCAATTGAATATCAGTTGAAATAGAAGGACATTACTCTGAAAAATGGGAAACCATTCATGTATTAGTCATCCTGAGGTTAATAGAATATGGATTAAAACCAAAAAAAACACTACCAAAATGGGAATATTGAAAATTCCCCCCATGTCTCCACAGTTTCATGAACAAAAAAAAAACACTGTTGGGGGATTGGCCCCATGTCGTTTTACTTGATGTTAGCATTGATGCTTGGCATCATTCCAGTGATGCCGTAGTGAGGCCGTCATGATTAAACTCATATTTGGTGATCGTTATATATATCCTGTCTGACAAACATTCTGATAGCTTCTGTGACATTCTATCTGACGTTTTATTTGGCATTCTTTCTGACAGTCTATCTGGAATTCTATCTGACATTCTATCTGGCATTCTTACGTTTGCTGTCTATGGTCTTATTCCCCTATTCATGGGAATATCCGCCATTTTTCACCACTATTCTCCCATGAAATCCCTTTTTCATGGCCACATACTAGAGTTTTCGCATTGCTTAGTTTGAACTACTCATTGGTTAAATCTCAATATGTTGATGGTTGAATCAAATCACATCAAATCCCCTAAATTGGTCGGTACAAAATCCCATTTGACTCCCATCATTAGTAATATCCATTAATTTATCCAGACCAGACAACAATTTCTCATATATACCATATATGGTTATTTAACATAGCCATGGAAAATGGCCCATTTATGTTCTTTGATAAAATTACCTATTAATAGCATGGTGGATTCTCCAGTTCGCTACGTGAATAATCACCAGAGAGTTATCGTTGTTTCAAATCACACATCCCATAGAAACCCCTCGATTTCAAATGCAAACATCGTCTGAGTTCGTGAAATCCAATGCAAACATCCCATTGAATCAGTTCCACCTCCAAAATCAGCTTGTAACCACCATCATAGCAAATATATGGGATATCATATATCCGCCGACCCCGGCTGCGCAAGGGGGAGCGCGTTAGGGAATAAGACAGCAGCACCCAGCCAGTAGCCAGCAGTCAATATCCGCCGACCCCGGCAGACGCAAGGGGGAGCGTGCCAGGGAATAATACTTTTGACTCTTGTTTCGGACTACTACTACTACTACTACTACTACTACTGCCATGGTGTTTTCCCATCCGGCAGGTGCCTTTTGAACAGAAGGAGTCACAGGAGCAGGAGCAGCAGCAGCAGGAGGAAATAGAAGGTGTTTGACAAGACGGTTATCATCACAAAGGCAATTCTTTTTTTTTCTAGGATTTCAGAAGGGACGTTAGGCACTTTTTGGGCTCGATTTTGGGGCGTTTTGGGCACGAAATTAGGTGGCGTTTCAGCGTTTCAAGTGGTGGCCATGAGCAGCAGCAGCAACAGGAGGGTTCTATGTCTCATTACACAAACAGTGGTATAAACATTGGTCGAAAACTATAAACATTGGTATATTATTGTGATTGATTTTGCGTCATGTTCGGCACGAAATTAGGTGTCTGGCTGCTGGTTTCTTACTTTATTAGAGGCAGTAGCAGCAATCAAAATTAGAGATCAAATTGGACAAAATTAGATTTCTATTGGACAAAGTTGGATTTCTAGTAGGATTTCAGAAGGGACGTTTCGGCCCCCGAAAACCTATTCTTGTGATTGATTTTGCGTCATGTTCGGCAGGAAATTAGGTGGTGTTTTGCTGTTTCGGCTGTGTTTTAAAAAAGGTGTCTGGCTGCTGGTTTCTTGCTTTATTATAGGCAGCAGCAGCAGTCAAAATTAGAGATCAAAATTGGATAAAATTGGATTTCTAGTAGGAGTTCAGAAGGGACGTTTCGGCCCCCGAAAACCTAATATTGTGATTGATTTTCCGTCATGTTCGGCACGAAATTGGGTGGTGTTTTGCTGTTTCGGCTGTGTTTTAAAAAAGGTGTCTGGCTGCTGGTTTCTTGCTTTATTAGAGGTAGCAGCAGCAATCAAAATTAGCGATCAATCAAATTTGACTAAAATTAGATTTCTATTGGACAAAATTGGATTTCTAGTAGGATTTCAGAAGGGACGTTTCGGCCCCCGAAAACCTATTATTGTGATTGATTTTGCGTTATGTTCGGCACGAAATTAGGTGGTGTTTTGCTGTTTCGGCTGTGTTTTACAAAAGGTGTCTGGCTGCTGGTTTCTTGCTTTATTATAGGTAGCAGCAGCAGTCAAAATTAGAGATCAAAATTGGACAAAATTGGATTTCTAGTAGGATTTCAGAAGGGACGTTTCGGCCCCCGAAAACTTAATATTGTGATTGATTTTCCGTCATGTTCGGCACGAAATTGGGTGGTGTTTTGCTGTTTCGGCTGTGTTTTAAAAAAGGTGTCTGGCTGCTGGTTTCTCGCTTTATTAGAGGCAGCAGCAGCAATCAAAATTAGAGATCAAATTTGACTAAAATTAGATTTCTATTGGACAAAATTGGATTTCTAGTAGGATTTCAGAAGGGACGTTTCGGCCCCCGAAAACCTATTATTGTGATTGATTTTGCGTTATGTTCGTCACGAAATTAGGTGGTGTTTTGCTGTTTCGGCTGTGTTTTAAAAAAGGTGTCTGGCTGCTGGTTTCTTGCTTTATTATAGGTAGCAGCAGCAGTCAAAATTAGAGATCAAAATTGGACAAAATTGGATTTCTAGTAGGATTTCAGAAGGGACGTTTCGGCCCCCGAAAACTTAATATTGTGATTGATTTTCCGTCATGTTCGGCACGAAATTGGGTGGTGTTTTGCTGTTTCGGCTGTGTTTTAAAAAAGGTGTCTGGCTGCTGGTTTCTCGCTTTATTAGAGGCAGCAGCAGCAATCAAAATTAGAGATCAAATTTGATTAAAATTAGAGATTTCTATTGGACAAAATTGGATTTCTAGTAGGAGTTCAGAAGGGACGTTTCGGCCCCCGAAAACCTAATATTGTGATTGATTTTCCGTCATGTTCGGCACGAAATTGGGTGGTGTTTTGCTGTTTCGGCTGTGTTTTAAAAAAGGTGTCTGGCTGCTGGTTTCTTGCTTTATTAGAGGCAGCAGCAGCAATCAAAATTAGAGATCAATCAAATTTGACTAAAATTAGATTTCTATTGGACAAAATTGGATTTCTAGTAGGATTTCAGAAGGGACGTTTCGGCCCCCGAAAACCTATTATTGTGATTGATTTTGCGTTATGTTCGGCACGAAATTAGGTGGTGTTTTGCTGTTTCGGCTGTGTTTTACAAAAGGTGTCTGGCTGCTGGTTTCTTGCTTTATTATAGGTAGCAGCAGCAGTCAAAATTAGAGATCAAAATTGGACAAAATTGGATTCTAGTAGGATTTCAGAAGGGACGTTTCGGCCCCCGAAAACTTAATATTGTGATTGATTTTCCGTCATGTTCGGCACGAAATTGGGTGGTGTTTTGCTGTTTCGGCTGTGTTTTAAAAAAGGTGTCTGGCTGCTGGTTTCTCGCTTTATTAGAGGCAACAGCAGCAACAAACAGTGGTATAAACATTGGTCGAAAACTATAAACATTGGTATATTATTGTGATTGATTTTGCGTCATGTTCGGCACGAAATTAGGTGTCTGGCTGCTGGTTTCTTACTTTATTAGAGGCAGTAGCAGCAATCAAAATTAGAGATCAAATTGGACAAAATTAGATTTCTATTGGACAAAGTTGGATTTCTAGTAGGATTTCAGAAGGGACGTTTCGGTCCCCGAAAACCTATTCTTGTGATTGATTTTGCGTCATGTTCGGCAGGAAATTAGGTGGTGTTTTGCTGTTTCGGCTGTGTTTTAAAAAAGGTGTCTGGCTGCTGGTTTCTTGCTTTATTATAGGCAGCAGCAGCAGTCAAAATTAGAGATCAAATTGGATAAAATTGGATTTCTAGTAGGAGTTCAGAAGGGACGTTTCGGCCCCCGAAAACCTAATATTGTGATTGATTTTCCGTCATGTTCGGCACGAAATTGGGTGGTGTTTTGCTGTTTCGGCTGTGTTTTAAAAAAGGTGTCTGGCTGCTGGTTTCTTGCTTTATTAGAGGTAGCAGCAGCAATCAAAATTAGCGATCAATCAAATTTGACTAAAATTAGATTTCTATTGGACAAAATTGGATTTCTAGTAGGATTTCAGAAGGGACGTTTCGGCCCCCGAAAACCTATTATTGTGATTGATTTTGCGTTATGTTCGGCACGAAATTAGGTGGTGTTTTGCTGTTTCGGTTGTGTTTTACAAAAGGTGTCTGGCTGCTGGTTTCTTGCTTGTGATAATGCATTTGCCAAAGTTTCTCGTCACACAGCTTGCCTGTTTCACCAGCAATCCCCGATTCTTTACCGGGGTCGGCGGCAGGGGCGGCAGCCCTTAAATAATTTCCAGTATAATACGGCAGGTTTCTGGTAAATATGGCTATCATAGCAACTGGTCGGTGGTTGAGCCCTACTCCTCTGAAAAATGATGGAGTTCGTCAGTTGGGATGATGAAATTCCCAATATTTGGAAAAAATCATCCAAATGTTCCAAACCACCAACCAGTTTAGTTCCTATTCATCTCAAGTATTCCTCGAAGATGTAAGCTATTCAAAACATGGATCCAGGAATCCCCGCAAATGTGGGATGAGCCACTTCTTTATTGTGAAATCCCATGATAATCCCATGAAACCATTCTTTGTCCATTTTTTGGTCTTTACAATGTGGCGCCCCCACTTATAAGTTGGGTTATAAACCCCATGAATAATTACTATAGTTATGAATATCATAAACCATATTATTGAAGTTATAAACCAACTTAGCTATCTATCTACAGTTTTGGCAATTTATTAGTTTTAACTTGTTATTTCTATGGGATTATACATTTCATACATGGGGTTTTTGTTAGTACTTGTAACTGGTATTTCGGGCCATAACTGTAGTCAATGTGGGTAACGCAATAGGATCCACCATCCCCAAGTTTACCATTTTTATGGGTGGTATAAACTATCAATGTATATGGCTGGTTTATGACATTCTTTAACGAACATTACCATGAAAACCATAAAATCACCCCCATGAATACTAGTTCGTTAAATCTACCATAAACCATAGTTCATTCAGCCACTTATAAGATTTATAAGGCAACGGTTCACGCTATCCAACTTAAGCCACTTATAAGGCACTTAAGCAACTGAACGCGACCACCGTTGCGGGGGCCCCATCCAATGTCCACGCCATGCGCCTGCTGCCACTGCCCCATCTTCTCGCAGGAGCTGATGGCAGCGCTGAAACTCACCACATCGGGCTGCAACTTCATCGTTGGCATCAGCGCAAAGACATACCTCCGGTCGAATCCCTGGGAAATTGACCTGGATTTCACTGGGATTTTCTTGGCAAATACCGGGCAAATACCGGGAGAATGGTGGTTTTTTAACTGATTTTAACTGGGAAACACATGGAAAAACGTGAATTTCCTTAGGAAAATTGGGAACGTCACTGGGAAACATGGTGAATTTGGGAAAATCTTGGGAAAATGATGGATTTCACTGGACACAATTGGGATTTCACTGGATTTCACTGGCAAACATGGTGAATTGAACTGGAACAGATGTTGGATCTCAAACAAAAATAATAACTGAGAACAGATGCGCATTGAACCATGGTTTACCCAACTTAATTAAACCAGGACACATTGGGATTTGCTCTTAGCAAACATGGGGATTTACGCGTGGAGGACGTCGCTTTGAGGCCACCAGATGGTTGGAGGCAGCGTCAAAACCCATGGAGAAAAGTGGTGGGGATGGGTCAAAACCCTATCCCCCTGTAGTTCACATCAAAATAGCTGGGATTTATGGATGTTCATCCCCCTAAAAATGGTATCTATAGGTATTGATCCATAGCCAAGTAACTTGTTGGTACTTGTGGGCTGAGTTTCCCCTATGTTTTTGTATTGGTTAAGCCCCGGGAATCGGGAACTTAGCTTCCCCAAGGTTTTCTGTTCCCTGTCTTTCGCCATAGGAGCCCATTGTATACCGGGTTGCCCAAAGAGAACCGGCCGGCATTGAACAACAAACACGAGACTCTACGTACCCAGCACATATTATAGAAACACGGCAATTCTTGTGACTCATCAAAATGGCCATTTCATGGCTTCACCATGGCTAGCCCTGTGAATGTCACCGCTAGCCTTTAAAAATATTTCAGGGCTATGCAATACCTCCAGTGGATTGGTATACCCTCTGGTAATGACTAACATAGCGAACTGGAAAATCACCATGCTATTAATGGGAAAATCCACTATTTCTATGGGCAATTTTCAATAGCTATGTTAAATTACCAGAGGGTACCTGAAATGGCCAGTGGTTGATGCTTGATCCAATGCTGCGAATCGCCAAGAAACAAGGCATGTTCCCATCGTAGCGCCTTTTCGCAAGAACTGATGGCCGCATTGAAACCTCAGCCGTGCGGCCCGCCGTGCAAATCACGGGTTGATCATCCCAAACTCCTCATGAAAACTCGCAAGATCAAGATAGATATTCCCTCTGGTAAACAAACAGTTTGCTATTGAAAATGGTGATTTATAGTGGATTTACCCATTGAAAATGGTGATGTTCCATAGTTTTTTGTAAACGTTTACCAGAGGGTACCCAATTTTTGGGGCAGATCAAATTGCATGAAATTGCTAGCCACATCCAAAGATGCAGTGACGCCTGTTGAATCATACCAGGAAGAAACAAGCAAACTTGATGGCCATGTGTACTGCTTTTAGACGCAAATCTACAATTATATTAACATTTGGCAGATATCCCAACTCTAGTTCCTTTCATCAGCTATTAACCTGGCCTTTCAAACTACGTGGTTTGCAAACTCAATTCGTAGCTCCAATCGGCTCCTCGTTATTTTTTGGGAAATGTCGATCACCGCTCCAAACTGCTCCCAGCATTCACCACTGGATAGCTAAAAAAACACGCGAGCAGTGTTCAAAACCTTGTTTGTTGATGATCGGGGATTGTAGTAACCAATGTATGTCACAATCCATTTTTAGAAAATCCTTATCAACCAACAATTTGATATCATCAATTCACTGGTAATTACCCTCTGGTAAACTAACATAACTATGGAAAACCACCATTTTAAATAGGTAAATCAACTATAAATCGTCATTTTCAATAGCAAACACTGTTTATTTACCAGAGGGTATCTATCAATATTCGAATTCTCCAATAGTACCAATCGGTCAATCCAATGATCTATCAATTTGATACTGGAACCCACCAACCATCGATATCCATTTATCATAATCCAATATAATCCAATTATTGTTGTAATCCCAGTATAATCCATATTCATATCCAGCATGTTTTCCATGATCATTGTTATTATTGATATTATATCTCATTATGATACCACAATCACTATCATCACATACTGTCACAATAGTTGTTAATATCAATGGGAATTTCAGAATCCTAAAATGGAGGTACCTACCATATATAAGGCATATGTAAGGCCTATGTAAGGGAATATCCCCACAAAATATGGCTTTACAGGGAATATGGTTTTTTTTGGATCTTGGAATTTCGATAATATGAAATATGTGATAACCCAGCATCGAGCGACTGATCACATCCGGCCAGATCTGCTTCTGCGGCATCTGGAAGATCAGCTGCAACGCCAGGAGCCACTGACGACCCTTCTCGCAAGCGCTGATGGCGGCATTGAAACTCACCTGGTTCCTGAGATCTGACGTATGGTGAAACAACCATGGGAAATCATGAAACATGGGGAACGAACAGAAATCTGATTTTTTGGTGGATATCACATTATTCATCACTATAGTATACTATAGTATACTATAGTCATATAACTTGTTGGATTTCAATGGAATTACAACTTGTTGGAATACAATACAATAAGTCAATGTGTCTGAAAATGGGATCCCACGAAATGGCCACAATTCTATTGGGGAACACGTGGTGATTTTCTCGGATGGATTTAGAGGCACCATATGTTCACCGAAACCCAGATGTGCCACATGTTTTTTTTAGTAAGGCATGTTTTCCTTCGAAGTGCAGCAAAGGTTGGACATTTGAATGCTATCTGCTATGCACATATGAGCACTCATATGAACATAGAAATATACTATATGATACTAATATGCAAATATACATACTTGCCATTGAAAAAATCAATCTTTGCTGAACTATGGGAGATTCCTGGATGAAGAATGATAGCAAATCCCCCAATCCTTATCAATTCACCATTCAAGCCATTCGCCAAGATTTACCGCCTGGTTAGGGCTAACACTTGCCAATATCTTCCCAAAGAATGGGTTCCTGGGCCTTACATCGCGACCCTGAATTACCCAATTCAGTATAGGTCAAAACTATCAAGTCCCCAAAACCCCCAAATGGGCGGTTTTTTCCACCAAACATGACGTCTTTTCTGGATCCATGATCCATGTACAGCTTTTTTACATATACAGGAAGGGTTCCAAATCAACGGTTAGTCAAATACGCATCCACTTTACAAGTATCCATTAGAAGCCCCAATGAACCTATCTATAAGCCAACTCACCTACTATAAATCAACCATAAATCACAACATTGTGCTAATTAAATCCACCTTTTTAGATGTTGAAAGTTCCAATTGACCCATCGTATCCTATCATTCCCAGGGGCACCTCCTGTGCTCATTTCTGCCCACCCCTGCCCTTCACCAAAGCTTCGGTTCAACCTTGGCCCAGAGCATCTTTTCGAAGAAACATAAGGCCTAAAGACAGCGAGCAGCTGTCTAATCTGTGAAACATCAGGATTATTAATATGCATTTAACGAAGCATACCCTCTGGTAAACTAACATAACTATGGAAAATCACTAATTTTTATGGGAAAATCCACTATAAATGGTCATGTTCAATAGCAAACTGTTAGTTTACCAGAGGGTATGTGTTCCATATTTGTCCATCTTTTTTTCCAGCCTTCATCATTCCTCCCGCCCATCTCGGCCTGCTGCCATTGCCCTACCTTCTCGCAGCAACTTATCACCGCGCTGTAGCTGATCACCTGAAAAGAATGATCAATGGGAGATCTCCAGGATCCAAAAATGGAGGTACTGCACCATGCAAAGCCATATTTTGCTGGGATATTCACTTACATAGGCCTTACATAGGCCTTATATATGGTAGGTACCTCCAATCTAGGATCCTGAAATGGCCATTGAAATGAATTGAAGGATCATTTCCAGCTACAATTAGTGGGCCTTTGCCAGAAACATAAGTGGTATATAAAGTTATAGCAATCCACAAATGGATAGGATAATCATATAAAGAAAACACCATTTATATTCATGTATGACATCCTGGAAGCACGGTTCTGTTTGGGAGCTACTATAGTGTATAACCAATCAAACAGGGAGATCATAGAGAATTCTGATCCCCTATTCCTGGGGTTATCCCAGTAACCAAAAGACTCGATGCTAGTTTGCTACCGTCACTAGCCTTCCTGGTTGGTGTTTGAGCCCTACCCCTCTGAAAAATGATGGAGTGAGTAACAGTTGGGATCATGAAATTCCCAATAGATGGAACGTCATAATCCATTCATTCCAAACCACCAACCAGGCCATCTCTATTAAATTGGGACATGTTTTTCCAAGTTGGGTGACTTCAAACCAATGATGGGAGGATGGGTGTTTTGACATTGTCATAAGGTCAGCAAAAATCCAATGGCTTGTACTGTGGCTCATGATACCCAACCTGGTTATGACTAACAGTTCGCCATGGGATTTCGATGGCCCATAGAAATAGATGGTTTACCGTTCTTAATAGCATGGTGATTTTTCCGTGGCTATGTAAAATAACCAGATGGTAATTTTCCTATTTCTAAATGGCAATAAGCTGGACTTGTATTTTTGGACAAACCATGACAACCGCAAAAAACAGATACCTTCAATGGGCTAAAATCGTCCAGAACAATAATGATTACTGCACAACATCCATGCGATATGTAATCAATGGTGTTGGTTTTGTCGGGAAATTTGGCCGAATCCCGTGTATGATTTTACTGTTGAAAATTTTGGTTCCCTATAAATGTCGCCTTTAATTCTAGGATGCAACAAAAACATGGAACGCTATGATCAACAAAAATAGAAACCTAATTTAAAAAGGACGTTGTGAATTAAAAGAAATGGAGATATTCCGGAGTAAGTCGTCTAAATATGGCTTGTTGATCCCTGCTCAAAGGTTAGGTCTATATGAAGTCAGTTGGGGTTACTATTATTACTATTCCCAATACATGGAAAAATAAAAGCTGTTCCAAACCACCAACCAGTAACATACTGTGGATGAAAGAAATCCTGCACCATCAAAAGGATGGTTCAGAGCCTATAAATACTGGGATGTTGATCACATATCAACTGGTGCAGGACATTTTGTTTCATCAACAGTATCACGGGTTGGTGGTATACCTACCCCTCTGAAAAATATGACTTCGTCAGTTGGGAGTATGAAATTCCCAACTGGATGGAACAAAATTCATTCTTGTTCCAAACCACCAATCAAGTATTGTACCATAGATTATTATAGATTATTAACCATTATTATAAACCAGTTATGTTATTATAATCATGTACCAAACCACCCACCAAATCATGTAGTCAGTGCCCATCCAGTAGTTTTGCCCCTTTTTGCGGGTTCAAACCTGCCACCCTGTAGCCTGTGGCCTGTGGCCAAGGGGCATTCGCTGGGACCTGTGCCAAAGACATCTGCTCAAACAATTCCAGGGCCTTGGCACGGCTTTGTTTGACTGATTGACATTGGGATATATATATATATTCATTTTTGAAATGATGATGTAATTTGAGAATCAGAATTGGATTCACACAAATTGGAATTTAATATGTGGGTTTGTGGAGACCATATCAGAATGATTTGGGTTTGATTTCTGGGCTCTTCTAATATGTTATAAAATCAAACACGTGGATTTCGCGAGGGGATTCAACCAACATTTAGTGAAGACTTACTCTCTGGTAATTTAACATAGCTATGGAAAATCACCATTATTATATAATGGGTAGTCATCAACTATTTCTATGGGTCATTTTCTATGTCGCAAACTGTTAGTCATTACCAGAGGGTAGACCACCATTAATTCACTATTACCCATTAATAACCCCCATTAATCACCATTAATCACCATTTTCCACTGGTGAAATCAAATTTAGTGAAGACGTAGAAAACAGCATGTCAATGTTGGATTGACTCAGCGAACATGCAGATTCGATTATTTTTTTTTGATAAAAAAACAACTGCCATTTTGTTGTCTCAAATCCACCAGGCATCACATGGATCTACCAGGTTTAACCTGTTCAATCAACAAAGAAATTGGATATATATATATATTTATATTATATTATTATATATATAATTATATATAATTATTTATACACATTATATATACCTGATATATCCTGATATCACCAGCAAGAAAGTTGCTTGTAGACATGAACATACAAAAGTAACAAACGTAAATTGTACCTGGAACAATGCTGTAGCCCGCAAAAAGGGGAAATTCAACAACAGTGGATCATCATTTACCTATCATGTTGGTCAAAAGATGGAGAGAAAACCATCGGATAAAACAACCGGAGGGAACAGGACATCTCGATATATAAATTGAAATACTTCACCAACCTGAACACTTTGACGAGCCACATTCGCTCTCGTGGCCTCTCCCCGGCAGAAAAAAAGGGTGACAAATTATTTCTCAATTGTCTGTATAAACTATATCTGGTTGGTGGTATACCTACCCCTCTGACAAATATGAAAGTCAGTTGCGATCATTATTCCCAATAATTATATGGAAAGTCAAAAAAATCATGTTCCAAACCACCAACCAGATATGACAGTTCACTAACCTGGACTCGGCCATTTTGGAATAGTCACCCTTCCTAACCATCCCAGTGACTTCCCGACAGGGCGTTGCTTTAATAAATCGCCAAGCTGCAAGCTGCAATTGCTCACCCTTCTCACAGGCACTGATAGCAGCACTATAACTGTAGACGTTGGGATGCACCTGGTGTCATCCATCCCCAGTCGAAAGTCACAACGTGAAAAGCAAGTCCTGTTTTCGATGCCGTGCCACATATCCACATGAAGGCATAATTTTCACGATAAGGCTGCCTATCGGAGTTCAAACTTGCCAACGATACGTTAACGCGTGGCATGTTTCTTCACTGCAAAAATAGTTATGGACGATCATCCGAGAGGGATGGAACGTTCTGAAAGATATAAAGATACCGTTCACCACTCAAATGGATATCAACCCAGGATTCATAAATCCCCAATAGAGCCCGGCGCCCACTTGGAATATCCTTCACTAATCAAAGTCCCACCAAGCTAAGGCCACATCATGGAGACGCAGTAGCAATATTCAACAGTCTTTTTGGGGATTTCAACATTTAAATCATGTTAAATCCCCAGTTTCTAATGATCAAATCAAGTCTCTGAATCTGTCCCCACACAATTCCCCATGTTTGGGCTTTGTCTGAAATAGGGTCCAGCAAATCACCACTTTCCCTATGAACAGAACTGTTCTGGGGGTATACACCATTTTCAGACACACCAGCATCATATTGTAGTTGGTTATGTATCCTATAAAAAAAAATCCCATTCAACTCGATGATTTCCCCAAAACACATCTCAGAAGCCCATAGAATCCCAGTTTTTATCCACACAGAATCCCATTCTATCCCCGATTTTTTGCTGCTTTTTTTTAAAACCCTGTATTCGAGTTTCTCTGAACATCGGCGTTTTTTTTCGCGCACCTCGCGTCCCGGCATGTCCCGCAGCAAACTCAGCGCACGCTGCCACTGCTCGCCCTTCTGACAGGCGCTGATCGTGGCGCTGTAGCTGATGACGTTGGGTGAAAGGTCCTTGGTGGGAAGGGGGACCCAGGATAGGTAAGATGGACAACCAAAAATGACTGTTCATAACTAAACATATTGTTAGTTTTGATCAACAAACATGAGAAGTTATATTCATCTCAACACTTAGCTAAGATGTTAAAAGAACTAGTCTAATCAACATTTTATGATGAATATATCTAGAGCCGCATGGGATTTGTTCAACCGACTCATGACTGGGGCCACTTTGTTGCTATGGGACAACTGGGGTCATCCAAGCATCACCAGACTGGGTCATCCATGCTGCACGAGGAAAAAGGACTGTGACTCAATGGATTGCTTCAAAATCTGATAAATCTGTAAGAAACCATAGTTTTCACCCTTAGGCACCTTAGGTATAGGATGATACCAGGTCCCATCATCCACTTCAGCCATTGACCAGTAGAAAATCTGAAAAACATCAGAGCCACTTTTCTCTCAGTAAAGGCGCGCGATAAAGCGCTACGGTACAGGGACCCAATATTTGAGTGACTGATTTCAAATACATTCATCAAATACAATGTTATATTACCCTCTGGTTATTTAACATAGCCATGGAAAATGGTTCATTTATAGATGGTTTATATACCCATTAAAAATGGTGATTTTCCATGGCTATGTTAAATAACCAAAGGGTATCTACCCAGCCTAAAGTCTCGGATGAAAGAAATCATTGCTATCATGGCCAAAGTGTCTGCAGCACGCATGGCATCGAAGAGGAACAAGGCGCATGGCCACTGTTCGCCCTTCTCACAGGAACTGATTGCTGCGTTGTAGCTGACAACTTCACGCTGAACGCTTGCCTCATTTTGGAGCATGACATTTGGAGCACAACTAATTGGATTGAAGAGGATTTGAATGGAGAAACATGGGATTCATGGGAAAATCATGGAAAAAATGTCAGAGAACAAACATCGATGCTGATTGGGGATCTGTCATAATACTATATACACAAAACTACCGGCCCCGGGACCTTGCTTGACATGTTGGGAAAGCAAACAGGTCCCGTATTGGATTAGATCGCAATCCCTTCAAACCAGTTACTGTGGTATAACATGGTATAACCAAAAAAACATCAAAAAACACCAAAACACAACATGCTTGGGCATGTTTGGTCTAAGTACCAATGTATACTTGTTGCTGAAAATCGCCGCTGTTGATGTTCACCAGAAAAAAAAAACCACCAGGAATCAAACCTCTGAGTTGCTGTGGCCATCTGTTTGCCCAACTATTTCCAACTGTTCTTGAAGTCTCTAGTCTTTTACCATCACCCTATTCTCACTGGATACCCCGTGTTTTTTTCCCTTTAACCTCCCCATTGTTCCAAGGATCTCTAGCCATCTGCTGGAAAATCTGCAGCGCCTGCTGCCATTCCCCGGCCTTTTCGCAGGCGCTGATGGTGGCGTTGAAGCTGATGCTGTTGCCCTCCACTCTCGACCGCTGTAGCGTCTGAAACAACCCCAGCGCCTGGCGCCAAAAATCTACTTGGTAGAAGTGGGATCAGCAAATGTTACACATGGGATCATCATCTTAGGGTAACAAAAGGATACAAATGGGATAATGGATGGTTAATGGGATCATCAATCCTAATATCTTAGGTAGAGTTGACAGTCAAAACTCTTACAAATTGATTGAAACCACTAATTAGTTGATGTCAAGCCGCAGCAAATGAACAAAAAATCATCAAGTTTGGCTCAGAGAAGGGACGGAGCGGAAATGTACCAGAGAAGTGACAAGCAAAATTGGATTTGGATTGTAATTCACCAGACAAGCGGAAATGGTGATATCATGCTAGGCTGAGGCCCCAGGCCCAGGAAATGAATGGAAGTGACATGAATGACTTGCACAACTGGGGATACAATATGATCAAACATGATCAAACAAGATCCAACAATGAGTTATTAGTCACGCCTGGAGAAGTTCACCAAACTTGATGAACCACACATTTACCCTCTGGTAGACGTTTACAGTTTGCTATGAAAAAATCAATTGTTTGTTTTTGTTTTATTAATCAACTATTTCAATGGGCTATTTTCAATAGCTATGTTAGTCATTACCAGAGGGTACATGGACATAGAAGCAGCAACCATGACTGCAAAAGAGAAAACCGTCACAAGAACAAACTGGGTAACTGGACTTGGCAAGAAGACAACGGGGAAGGTGAAGTGGCTTTCAAATCGTGAACTGCAACTTGGAGTTCCCGACTCTAAAGAACAAATGAACAAGTCAGTCTAAGTACAATAGAGCATACATGTGTATATATATATAATATGTATATACATATATATATATGTAATATGTATAATATATATATATAAAAATAATACATATGTAATGTACATATATATATATATATATCATGCAATATCCCATATTTCAAGCAACACTTCCCTCTGGCTCACCCAGCGCCTGCTGCCATTGTCCTGTCTTCTCACAGGCACTGATCGCAGCGCTGTAGCCTTGTAATGTGAGGAGCCAGCCACGGCTCATAACGCGACGTTTTCACCGGGAAAACCACGGGGTAACACTCGGCTGGACACCGAACAGAAGCTACTGAACAGAAGATAACAGCACACTAATTGGATTCAAAGTATCAGAGAAGTAGTCATACAAATATCGCAAAAATTGGGATAGGAGAAACAAAAGATGATTGTCACGAACTGCTGAAACATTCGAAAACCCAAGGGTTTATCAAGAATTTCTCTCTTATGACTGGCATTTTGAAGTACACAATGTATCCAACCCATGTTCGAACGGTCAATACTGTCAAATTTGTTATCATTACTCTCCGGTAAACATACAAAAAAACATGGAAAAACACAATTCTTGATGGGTAATTCCACTATTTCTATGGCCATGATCAATAGCTTTTTGTATGTTTACCAGAGGGTAGTTAATAATATGGGATCCATTGTGTGGATGTACAATTCCATCACCGAATTTCCCATGGTTGATCGTTGAATCTGGATAAATTAGAAGCTTTTAACGGTCACAGAAAAACTGGGGATGGACAAACCCTTGATCTTCCTCACATATGGGTGAGTCCCTCTCACAAGTTTCAAAGTTTCATGGGCAAATGTTTACTTGCCAAATCCTCATGAAGCTACATTTGCCCGAATCAAACTGATTGAACCAAAATCATCTTTTTAGATCTCTTCACTGACATGGGTATGGATCAATAAGGGGAATGAACATCCATTTACCAGCTATTTTGATGTTCACCAGGGGTACCAGGTTTTGACACACTGCCACATTTCTGCCCGGTTTTCCCTGTCTTCTTCGGGTTCCCAGTCACTGAAGATGTTCGCTCGGATGGTCTGGGAAGGCATGGCTGCGAGAAGGATCAGGGCATCTTGCCATCGATTGCCCTTCCTAACATTTTTTTTGAGGCTCTCACGAAGGAACAAAAAACCAAACATGTCCAATACCATCCAGTAAACCATGGGGTTTGTTATTCCGAAATAACAATAGCCATGGATTACCATCCAAACATGTCCAATACAGCTATGGAAATCCATGGGTTTGTGCTGGAGGATCCCATCTAAAACCAAAGGTTTTTAGTGGTGTCAGTGTTTTACGACATTTATTGACCAAACATAGGGATATCATATCTAAATGGAACCATAATAAATGTTTGGTGTTTACAACCATTTATTGTTTACAACATATCATATCTAATCAACAACCAAATAATTTGAACATTTCCCTGAGTGGATTTGCCCAAATGCTTTATGATAATACCTAAACGTCCTAAACAAACAGAATCGAACAGCTTCCAGTCAGGGTTCTTTCAGTTGGATTATAAAAGTCGTCTGGTGCCGGGGGGGTGGAACCCCTAGAAAAAAAAAATGAAATGCAGGGGCCTAAGGACAAAATGCCAATAAAATGAGAGGGCATAAGGTACTGTAAGATAGGAAAACCCAAGCAAAATACAATGGACAGGTACAAAAAAAATATGACGTCAGGCCCCCTCCACCTGGCAACTGTTGGACCTCGGGCTCCGGCATTTTCTTTTGGGTTGATCTTGGTTAGTCTTGTTTCCTTATCTGATTGGTTTTAATAATCTTTGAAGGAAAACCACCCAAAATGGCAAGACCTAACCTCCAACATACAAATAAATATAATTGGTTCCAATATGTTCCAATTCTGACATCTGGATGGTTTCTAGAAAACATACAAATAAAATCAAAGAAATATACTGTAAATAAATTGAACAAATCTCATTGGCTGCTGTGAGCTGCCCGTGTGTCTTTTGTTGGCCAAGGGAGGCAATAGAAAATGAGGGGGGCCAACCCATTTTCGAATTTTCCATTTTCACAGCACGCACTCCTGCTAGCATCAATTTGGATCGACAACAACTGCTGTTTCAGTTCATATGCTACAAAATGATCAGACCGTTCACAGCTGTGCATCTTTGCTATCATGCTATCTCTGTCAGTTAACTTGATGGGTTGGGCACCTCAAAAAATAAAATGCACCCACAAAATAAAATGCTGGAGTCTGACCCCATAGTATTTTCAGATGTGCTTTATTTGTTTATTTTTTAAGGGGCTCCTGCCCCCTCATTCTCTTTAGTTACACCGAACGGCTGTGATTATATGTTTCTATCTTTTTGGGCGTTGCGAACGTTAATCAAACGTGGACATCAAATGGCTATGGATCAATACCTATTAATACCATTTTTAGGGGGATGGACATCCATTTACCAGCTACACCCATACGCCAAAGTCCTTGCAATGTTTGCGTTTGACAGCTATTCCCAATCAAAACGCTCGCCACGACCCCTGTCCCGGCACAGACCTTGCAAAACCCCTTTCCCCATTGGAAACGCTAGCTTTAACAAGCCTTGACCAAACTATCATGGTTCTATTCGTTTTTGACCGAATCCCATCGGAACGCCGGTTTCCAACGGGCCTTTTTTCGTGGGTACTGTTGACGCCCACAAACAAAAACGCGAAGCAGGCCCTTTTCCTAGTTTGTATACTGCAGGATGGGTTCTGATAAAGGAAAAAACGAGGTCCAAAACGAGGTACGGAAAAAGCCCCGCATCTACACACATGGACTTTGGCCCGCAAGCCGCAAACCTGCCCTTCCTTGGACCACTGGTAGCGAAACAATGACAATTTGCAGAATCCCAGCACACCGCCATGGCAGTGTAGAGATGATAATCCCAGCGTTGTGTAGAAGTACCCGGAAACAGCAACAGCAGCAGCCGTCGAACCAGCAGCCGCAGCAACAGCAAGACGCCAGTAGCTGCAGAACCCAACAGCAACCATCCCAAACACAATGAGAACGCAACTAGCAAGATTAAAGCACTATGCTAATAGTAAAACAACGCCCTACCCCAAACACAACCTAAACGCCGCTTCGCCACTTTAGGTCTACATGAGATAGTAAAACAGCAACCTACCCTAAACTCTAAACACAAGCTAAACGCCGCATCGCCACGACTTCCACAAAAGCCTTCCCCCAAGCTAATTTCAAGATTTTTGGGATTTCGCCACGACTTGGGCAGTTGGGAGTATTTTGATGTGAACTACAGGGGTACAAGGTTTTGACACACTGCCAAATGACTTGGCAGCTGCCAAGCTTCTCACATGCAGTGATGGCCGCACTGTATGTGAACACGTTCTGTTGGGCTTTCGCAGCTGGAATGCGGTGGAACAAACCTGGCCGGTGAAAAATCCCGGCAAAGCCTCTGGGATTTTGGTGGCTAATGGTGAATTAATGGTGGTTAATAGTGAATTAATGGTGGTTAATGGAGGTTCATGGAGTTTATTAATGGCTAATAGTGAATTAATGGTGGTTTACCCTCTGGTAAAGACTAACAGTTCGCTATTGAAGCCATGGCCCATTGAAATAGTTGATTTACCTCTCAAAAGATAACGATTTTTCCAGTTCGCAAGCTGTTAGTCAACCAGAGGCTAAATTCGGATTAGTTTCAAGATGCTTCAAGGACTTGGGGGGTCATGTTCCACTGAAAATAAGTTGGTATATTATTAGTCCACGTGGTCAATCTTTGGTCCGCAGAACATGGTCATCTTTTGGTCTTTTGGGTAGCAACAAACTACCCAGGATTACTTTTACCCGTCGAATGTTGGTATATGTCCCTCGTAACCACATGACCACATATCCAATCCAAAATCCAATGATTTCATCTATATAATTACTGTATCCCATTGTAAAAATTCTCAATCATTGGGTTTATAATTGTCAATTTCCCAATAGTGTGGTAAATTATACTATTTCACTCACCTGAAATGTTGGGCCATGAATGGGGATGATTTCCCTTATTAGCCATGATTCCAGGTTTCTGTCGCAGTGCGGTCGTGATCAAATTTACCTACATTATCTGGTTGGTGGTTTCAACCCTTCTGAAAAATGATGGAGTTCGTCAGTTGGGATGATTTTTCATTCCCAACTGAATGGAAAGTCATAATCCATTCATGTTCCAAACCACCAACCAATCACTCATATTCCATTACCAGAGGGTTAATCACCATTAAATCACCATTAATATCCCTATTAAATTTATTAAATCATCATTAAATCATGTTCCAAACCACCAACCAGTTGCTATAATTGTCCCTTCATACCTCGTTAGCGCCAAGAAAGCCAAGAAACTCAGGGCCGCCTGCCACATCTTTGCAGCGGCACAGCAGGACATGCCCAGGTTGTAATCTGGTGGATCGAGTTGGAAGATCTGGTCATGCCTGGGTCCAAAGTGAAAAAAAATCGTCGTTTTTTTGGCCTGAACCATCGGTTAATGATGGTTAATAATGGTTAATGATGGTTAATGATGGTCAACGATAGTTAATGATGGTTATATGATAGTCATATTGGATGTGAAATTATTGGTTAATGATGGTTAATGATGGTTAATGATAGTTATATGTGTGGCCAATTCTTGGTGATCCATTAAGCATCATATCATCCATAAGCATCAATAATTTCTCAGTAATAATCATGGTGAGGGGGATCACTGGTATTAATCTTTTAAAGGTACCATAAGATGATAATAAACATGGTGATCTACGTACTCAATGGTGTTAAAGATGGTGATCACTGGTACTTTTAAAACCATGGTGATTCTACCAGCAGTGATGTTTCTGTGACATACATGGAGATCTAATAGAGCACACATGCTGATTTGAAATGATTTACCCTCTGGTAAATGTTTACATAACTATGGAAAATCACAATTTTCAATGGGTAAATCAACTAGTTCCATGGCAATTTTTGGCTGTGTTAGTCATTACCAGAGGGTAACCAGCACACATGGTGATCAGCAGGCGCCTAGGGGTCACCCTGTTTATCATCAAAGAGTGTAGGATGCAACGTTTTAACGTTAACAATGATAAGGATCCACCACATTTTTCTACAATCTAACTCCCTTGTTATTTACATTGATGGTCTGGTTGGTGGTGCAATAACCATCTTGAAAAATATGAAAGTCAATGGGAAGGATTCTCCCATATGTTATGGAAAAAACATGTTTGAAACCACCAAACAGTGGTTAAATCCTACTAAAATATACTAAAATCAAATTTCGACAGTTCAATCCCCTCGTTCCTGTCAACTCCCCGATGAAACACCATTGTTACAATCTGTTTCGTGGTGGCTCCTGATTATAACTTGGTTGATAAACCCATCTGACCATGGTTATGATCACCAGGACCATGACCATCATTGACCCTAAATTAGTCCAGCTTTAAGCCATCTGAGCTAAATATGGTGAGCATATGTTAGAATAATCCATTCCGTTGCTTATTTATATCTATAAAATGATATATATATATATGTATATTATATATATATATTATTTATATATATAGAAGCAAATATAAATATTATAAATAATATATCCATGTAATTCCATGTACATCCCACTAAATTAGTGGTTTTAAGTTTAAATCACCCCTAACGACCTGGGGTAGCCACCAGCGGCTGGTGTCCCTGTCGGTGGCCAAGTGGCTGAATGATCTCTAGAGACCTGAAGAGCAGGCCTCAAAGCGACGACACGGGCATGAAGAAACTATGGCTTGAGAATGGCTCTTAAGAACTTTTAGTAACGGTTGCTTAGTGGTTATCAATATTGATTATCATTACACTATTATCATGAACTATATAAATAAGATTGGTTCTTAATATTGGTTCGTGACAATAGTAATGATAATAGCAATGATACTGGTTCCAATAAGAATAATGATATTGGTTCCAATAGTAATGATAATGGTTAGTAATAAATAATAGTAATAATAAGCCATGGTTAAGTTGGTTATATTAATGGCTATATTAATGTGGTTATAATCTGGTTGGTTATATAAATAGCTCAATATACGCATAATAATACGACTTCATAATGGTAGTGGCAATTATCCCATTATGGAATAGGTGGGATATTATAATATCGGATGAATAATTAATTCCGATTGAATAGTGGTTCATGATAATAAAAACCAATAAGAATAATGATCATTGTAATGGTAATAATATATATGTATATGAAAATCAATAGACTGGTTCATAGGAATTAATAAAACGAATAATAGTAATAAGTCTAGCAATAATAATAACATATGATAATCAATCATGGATAATAATGGCTAGTCATGATGGATAATCACCCTATTAATGGATATAAATTGAGGTTTTCATGGGGAAATCAGCTGTAAATCGAATCCTTTGCATTGCCATGTTTGATTACCAGAGGGTAAATCCAAATCATTACCAGATCTTCGGGCTGGGGAACCACAAAAAAATCTGTGTGTGAACAAATTCCAGAAAACAATGTCAGGATCCCATCTTAAGTTCCACTTCTAGATAAATGATATACATATATATATATATTATCCCATATATGTTAATCCCATCTAGATAGTCTACATATATATATATATCTATATATATATAGCTATATATATACTCCAGATCTCATACAATTATATATATACACATTTACATATATTTCCCAGAAACCTGCCAACAAAAATACTGGAAAGTAGTAGCACTGTATTTTAGCTTTCTGTTGGTCTGTGGATTTCACAAACGCTTTGGATCAATCAGCAGACCACCTCTCGAAATCAGCTTGTAACCAGCCCCATCATAGCAAATATATCCCATAGGATCCATGTATGGTATATATGCTAACATTTGGGGTATATGGATGGTAAATGTTACCATATATAACATACATGGATCCTATGGGTATGGGATATTATATATATCTATTTCTATATAATTGCCAGTATAATATGTCAGGTTTCTGGGAAATATTCTGGGAAATATATGGCTATCATATAGCAACTGCTTGGTGGTTTCAACCTACCTATCCCTCTGAAAAATGATGGGGTTCATCAGTTTGGATGATGAAATTCCCAACTGGATGGAAAAACAAAAAATGTTCCAAACCACCAACCGGGCAAATAAAACTATCAAAACACCCGTATCCAATTTTTGAATTCATGTTTTTTCACGCTTAACATGGTTTTTTTCTTCACACACCCTTCATATCTGATTGTATCCGGCTGAATTATACACTAACCTATACTAACCTGATAACAGCTGAAAGTTGCGGGCATTTCGGAATGATTCCTCTATACATTCACCATTATTCCAATGAGGTCACACTGAGGTCGCTATACTTCAGCCAAATGTGTATATACATAATTCACCATTAATTCACCAGCAAATCCCATTCAATGCCTATGTTGTTGGTTAAATCTCAATTTTCCCACTACTGTATATTCCAATTATGGCATTAAGATGTTAAACCGTCAGTGTTGTATATCCCATCATATCACCATTAAATCCCATTAAATGACATTAAGAACCCATTGTTTCCCATAGATTTCGATAGGTTTTCCATAGGTTGCACCAAGGATCTGGCGCGTTTCTCCTCCACCAACCCTTTCAACTCCCTTCGCAGCGCCGCCGGCGAGCACGGCGACCCGTGATTTCGTCGCAGAGTTTCTCGGAGCTGGGCGTCGCTGGCATCCTGAGAAATGGAACCCTCGAATATTGTTGTTCTTGAAAGGAAAATCCATGGTTTGGAAAAAACAACATCTCCATGAATCGAACATTTTTGGGATGGGCATGAACATAGCCAGCATTTTTTTGCAGCTTAAATTTTACGTGACAATAGGAAATCATCAAATAGACTGCCTCATGAAAATGACAGTCGCATAGATGATGCAAGCCATTTTTCTAATAATCCAAATGTCACATCGTTACTAACGTACAAAAATATCAATTCTGGAGTGGGATATATCTGGGTAAATTAAAATATTTCACTAACCTGAATCTTGCGGCCATGAATGGGGATGATTTCCCTTATTAACCCAGATATATAACAGAAATTCCTCCATTTGTGGCTTCACCGAAGAGCAAAATAAACATGGTCCAAGACGCCCTGCTGGTAGGATGTAAAGGCCCAATATATATACATCAGGGAATTCTCCCTATCTCCAAAGCCTAAAAGCCTGAACTGGCTGCTTCCAATTTGGGACTGATTCTTAATACTGCTTGGTGGTGCAATAACCATCTTGAAAAATATGAGTTCGTCAGATTGGATCATCATCCCAACTATTAGGGAAAATAAAGAATGTTTGAAACCACCAACCAGTTATTAGGTTGCTTCCCAATAGTTCAAACTTC